AATTTCTCCCTCTTTATCTTTTAAAATTTTCATTTTATCTTTTGTACATATTAGTTTCTTTTTCGCGGAGGCTGACTATTTTTCTACCAGACAAAACAATTTGAGTCAAAAAGTTAAATTATTATATATTAAGTCATGAATAAATTATCTTCAATTTTACAAGTGAGTGTGGTGTGTTTTTTTATCAGCAATATTTGGAGTGAATATTCAAATCTCAAAAATATTGAAGTATATTTGGATAGAAACATCATAATTTTATTAATGTTAAGCTCAAAAATCAGAATACCTTGGAAAACAAGTGGGAACTAAAAAAAGCTCAATTAATCAACATACCTTGAAAACAAGTGGGAATTAAATAATTAGTGTAGTTTGCATCAGTAATTAATTAGAGTGAAATAGTAACATTACTCAAAATTAAAGCATTCTAACAAACAATTATCTTAGACAGTAAGAACATCAGGTCCCCATCAATAGAAACATCTGACGAAATATTGTACGAAAAAATATCTTAGACAATATAAAAAACTACATGATTCTTTACAAATAAATATATAAAATATGAAAATTTTCAAGTTCATTGACCAAAGATAAGGAAAAAGTGGATTAGTTTAATTATTTACGTACCTACGACAACTTGACAAGTTGATTAGGAATTTAATATTGTGAATTGTTAGATCTATAGAGATACATATCAAATTCTAACCATTTTTTTAAAATTTAATCCCTTGCATTATTAACCTCCCTTTATTATATGTATTATGGTGGTAGAAAAAAAAATAGGCCTTGATTGAATACGTCCCTACGTTTTCCTAAACATACATTTTCATTTTCTTATTCTCCCTTCTCTTAAAAAATAAAATAAAATAAAATAAGTGACATGTTATTAAAGAGGTAGAAATTTTAACTTCAAAATAATTATAATTCTCCTTTAAATTGACATTAACCCATAAGGTTATTATCAGCCGACTTTAACATAAACCAAGCCGACTTTAACATAAACCAACGAAAAATAAAATAAAAATTTTACAAATCCAAAAGGTGAATGACTTATAAATTGAAAGTATTTAAATAATAGAGATTAAATTTAAAAAATATATGAATATATATATATATATATATATTTGGCTATCTTTGGTGCCAAGCAGGAAGCACCTCAGAAATGCCCCCACCGCAGACCATACACTCTTGACTCTTGACTCTACTCTATCCCCCAATTGCAACCCTATTTTATTATTTTCCATTTAATTAACCTTTAAATACTTTTTAATTTCTCCCACACCTATAATGCCACTTTTCCCCTCTCATTTCTCTATTCTACACAAATCATTGCACGTGATAGAAAATTTTGGAGTCCCAACTCACATAGCAAAAAAAAGAAAAATTAATATACCCTTAATAAACCCAAGTCAAAACAATATAAACATATATCTGATTTTATATATTTGAAAATTTAGATCGATAAAATCAAAATAATAATAAAATCGAAAATTAGATTTTAAATATTTTGTCATATTCGTAAAATTGAAAAGCTATTGTTATATTTATAAATATGACAAATTCTCTATTTCTTAATTTTATTTAAGGCGTTAAATGAGTTTGAATTGAATTTTAAATAATGAGTCATATCATCACCTGAAAATCATCGTCTTTTTATTATAATAAATCCTAATTTTGAAGAAAAAAGAGGGAATATATTAATAGTAATAAGAGAAATTGGAAACTCAATTAGAAGTTAAGTATCCTGGAATTAGTAGGAATTAAACATGGTACATAAACTTTTGGATAAAAGTAAGTTGGTTTGAAATAATTGTCTGGGGCACTATTGTCTAACTTAGTGGAAATACCCAAACTACCCACCCGTTTGGCTCTTAATTACATTAATGGCAATTCTAATCTCCCATCAATAGGACTTTTCTATTCCATACCCCTATCACATGAATTTAATTCAACGATAATTGGCATCTGAATTTGATCAAGAATTATAAATTCCAATTCTCCTCTGCTTGTCTTATTAAAATAAGAAAAAAAAACCTGGTACTATCACGTATCACATGCTTCCTCAACCCTCCACTTTACGACGTCGTCCCGACTTTAAATACGACGTTATCCAGAAATACAATAGTAAAGAACCTTCAAAAAGAAAAGAAAAAAAAAGAGAGAAAGCAATAAATTAGCTGAGTCAGCAACGTCGAAAATATGGAAAATATTCCAATATTTTATTTCCTGCTTAATCCAAGTTGGACAATTATTGGGGTCCACCGCCACCGACGAATTATCCTGTAAGCATTAATGATGGAGTTTTTAATATGGAAGCCGTCTGATTTGCCAAAGTTTTGTTTAACCACAACCATCAACGGTGTATATGGCCTTTGGAAAAAAAAAACATGATAAACCAACTCCCAAAATTTCCAAGTACAGCGTAAATTAATCCCATCTAATTATTAACTGTAATTATGGGTTTAAGAAAACCGATTCGGATTTAAATTTAATGTTTTATTTTATTCATTTATGATTTACCTTTTGGGGCCAAATGGGTTGCGACTTTTCGCTATAAATATGGCTGCCGTGGCCCTCTATCCTCCGCCTCTTTCTGCTCTGTTTCTCAGAGTCTTTTTCTTACGTTTTTTGATTTATTGATATTTGTTCGTTTGACCGGAAAAAATGCCTGGTGCCGGCGGAATCCTTCCCGGCGACGGGAAAAAGGAGTATCCCGGAAACCTCACTCCCTTTGTCACCGTCACATGCATTGTCGCTGCCATGGGTGGCTTGATCTTCGGTTATGATATTGGAATTTCAGGTACTTAATTTTCTTCTACCTCCCACAATTTTCTTCACTGATTTTTTCATTTTAATAATTGTTGAAATTGATTATAGGTGGGGTTACGTCTATGGAACCGTTTCTTGATAAGTTCTTCCCGGAGGTGAGCCGGAAAATGAATGCGACGGCGACGGAAAAGGTGAACCAGTACTGCAAATACGAGAGTCAGACTCTGACAATGTTCACTTCGTCCCTGTACTTGGCTGCTCTGCTCTCGTCGCTGGTGGCCTCGCCGGTCACACGTACTTTTGGCCGGAGACTCTCCATGCTCGCCGGCGGCCTCCTGTTCTTCGCCGGTGCCATCATTAACGCCTCCGCCAAAGTCGTTTGGACTCTGATTATTGGTCGGGTTTTACTTGGCTTCGGTATTGGCTTTACAAATCAGGTACTGCAATTTTTGGGTCTTTTTATGATTTTTTTTTACTCCTTTTTCGTTTCAATTATGTTGGCTTGGAAGAAGAAAGTTTCAATTTCTTCGTTCCTTTGGAAATTGCTGTTTCTATTATCGGGTTTGCTTGGCTGGCTTTGATATTATAAATTAAAAAAAAAAAAAAACTGGGATGGAATAATTAATAATGGAATCAAGTAGCAATGGACCAGCAACTGATTGGAAAGTGACAAATATGTCCTTTTTTTGGTTGGAGAGTTGTTTTCTGATCCAGATATTGCCATCTGCTTCTGCTACTTTCTTTTCTCTCTGTGTTTTCATTTTCTGTTCAATTCCCTATTTCCCCCTCTTTTCTTACACCAAACTTGGCTTTGTTCATGATTCCAACCTCTGTTTGGCTACTGAGAAAAAAAAAAAAAAACAAAAGATGGGAAGAAAAATTAGATAGAAAAAAAGAAAAAACAAGTAGTTTCCGGGGGACCCTTTTGACAGTTCCCTTTGACAATATGAAAAGAAACCTTTTTTGTTGGTTTCTTGATAGGCTTTTAGGCATTGGGCTCTATTGAACATGGGCGTGATGTAACATTTTGCTGAACACAGGATCATTGACCTTAATTGAATCTTCCGCCCATTAATTAAATCTTTTTGTGCATTTATTTTCTTTCCCTTAATGATTAAAAATAATGAAATCAAGCAAAGTTGAGCTACAATTGTTGTGTTTTTGGATGTGGAATTACAGTCTGTGCCGCTGTATCTTTCTGAGATGGCTCCCTACAGATTCAGAGGAGCTTTGAACATCGGCTTCCAATTATCGATCACAGTGGGGATTCTCATAGCCAATGTTCTGAACTACTTCTTCGCGAAGATAAAGGGTGGCTGGGGATGGCGGCTGAGCTTGGGCGGCGCCATGGTTCCGGCCCTCATAATCACCGTCGGATCACTGGTCCTCCCGGACACCCCAAACTCCATGATCGAAAGAGGGCAGCACGAGGAGGCCAAAATCAAGCTCAGAAGAATCCGCGGCGTCGAAGATGTGGAACAAGAGTTTCGAGATTTGGTTGCAGCGAGTGAAGCTTCTAGACAAGTGGAGCATCCATGGAGAAACTTGCTGGAGAGGAAATATCGGCCCCATCTCTCCATGGCCATTCTCATTCCCTTCTTCCAGCAACTCACCGGCATCAATGTCATCATGTTCTACGCCCCTGTTTTGTTCAACACCATTGGATTCAAATCAAACGATTCCTTGATGTCCGCCGTCATCACCGGCTCCGTCAACGTCGCCGCCACCGTCGTTTCCATTTACGGCGTCGATAAGTGGGGGAGGAGGTTCCTTTTCCTCGAGGGAGGCGTTCAAATGTTGATATGTCAGGTATTAATTAACGAGTTAATGAGTTATCTCGTTCGTTTTAATTAATTGGGTCATGGGTGTGATTTAATTTTGGTTCTTTTGGGTTGTTCAGGCTGTGGTGACAGCGGCAATTGCTGCTAAATTTGGAGTGAGTGGAGTTCTTGCGGATAAACTGCCACAGTGGTATGCAATTGTGGTGGTGCTTTTCATCTGCATTTATGTTGCAGGGTTCGCCTGGTCCTGGGGCCCTCTGGGTTGGCTTGTTCCTAGTGAAATCTTTCCGCTCGAAATTCGATCAGCTGCTCAAAGTATCAACGTATCTGTAAACATGATCTTCACATTTATCGTGGCGCAAGTGTTCTTGATGATGCTCTGCCACATGAAGTTCGGTCTCTTCATTTTCTTTGCCTTCTTCGTCTGCGTGATGACCGTTTTCATCTACTTTTTCTTGCCGGAAACTAAGGGCATCCCAATTGAAGAGATGGGTCGAGTGTGGAAGACGCATTGGTATTGGTCGAGATTTGTGACGGAAAATGATTTCCAAATTAGAGGATTAGAGATGGGGAATGGAGGGCAAGGAGTACTTAAGAATGTTTAATTTGTGTGCGGTGTAGTGTGTGTGTGTGTGTGTTTTTTTTTAATTACTTTTTAGGGTTAAAATATTGGGTTTAGAATTTGACTTTGTGTCAAAAGGGTAAAAAGTTTGTTGGTTAACAATATTTCATTCCCATTGGTGTGTATAGCAAGAATATGTTATGCAAAAAAGTCTCATTCACTCTCATATGCTTTATTTTTGCCCTTTGCATATATTGGTTTGGGAGGAGATAAGAGTGAGTGTGAAGGAAGCTTGATCAACTTTTCATTAACATCCATTTATTAGTCCTAGAATCAAAATTTGGTTTGAGTAATGGAGGGAAATTTTAGTGGATGCAAATTTAAACCTACCACGACGGGTTATGTATTCTAAAAAGCTAATATCTCTTTTTTTCTTTCTTTTTTTTTTTATCAAATATTACTTGATATTCTCTTATTCCTAAAGCATGGAATCTTTATTGTACCTCTAAAGATGAAGTTTATTATTTTTATCAAATATTACATGATTTATTTTAAAGTATTTGAAATTCTTTTATTCTTAAAGCATTTGGGCATTTGGGAATCCTTATTGTACCTCTAAAAATGGAATTTTATCCGCATCAACGCTATTCTCAAGCTTTCCGATCTCATGCTTCTCGTTCCAATTACACTTTCTATTCTAATATGGTCGTACCAAACATACCTCTAATAATTTAGAGATTTTGAAAATTTAACATGAGTGTCAAGTAGATTAAAACCGTCATTTGGGGATTAGTGAAATATTAGTTCGAAAACGCAACTCTTAACAAGTAGGAGCTTATATTGGTTCTTGCGTTTGAGTGTTCATCGAGTGGTAGATATATATGCTTCTTTTAATTTTATAGTACAATAAATATAAAGTGGTGGGATTTGAACCTCCAATCTTGAAGGAAAGAAGTAAATGCACTTAGAGTTGAGTCTTTTCAACTATAACACCAAAATGGAAATAGATTTATACTAAAGACTAGATATACCAATCATTCTTCTGAATATATATAATATTTTAAGTTTTTTGTCTCAGTCTTTTAAGGCATCCACCTTTGGAGTAGTCTAGTCTATCAAAGCTTATTAGATACAATATTTAAAGTGAGATTAAAAGTTAAAATGTCTGTTAAAAACAAGTTTGAAAGTTTAGCACTGACTTCACGAGAGAGTTTTGAGTTTTGGGTGCATTGCAAGTGGAGAAAGAGAATCAATAGTTTTTATCGTGGAAGTGGAAGATGAAGGCCTTTGCCTTTTCTTTTTGGGAAGAAATTAGATTGCGAGAGATTTGGTTTTGGTAAATCATAAATGCAGAAAAAGGAGCCCAACCAAAAAGGAAGAAGATGCTCCATAAGCTTCTTCACGGTGTTTCTATGAACAAAATATGAACACCATCATCACCATATCCCCATTTAATTTAATACCCTTTTCTGTTCTTTTTTCTTCTTTTTTGGATAAGTGTGATTCATTTTTCAAAAAAGATTGTGTCGAGAATCATATTCGGTGGCATCCAACATACTCGTGTGTTAATACCTCAATCACAGCCCAATCTTTTTTGTCTTAAAAATGACATCTTTGTTGATGAGAGACCTCCATTATTTGTACTCGAAACCAGGCTTTATTAGGAGGAATTATTAATTCTGTTTTTGGGTTGAATGGATAATGCAACAACGAAAAGTTAGTGCTGTTTTAAAGGTGATTTGGTTCATGGAGCATGAGAGTTCTACGTATTTGCCTGCTGATTCAAATTCTGATACGTATTTGCCTCCATTATTTGTACTTGACTTTTTATTAAATGCAAAATTGAAAGTTAAAAGATTTATTTAATATAAAATCCGTAGTTACTAATCATACACACGTCTTACATAACAGTGAAAGTTTATTAGACACATTTTAAAGGAGGAATAATTAGACATAACATAAAAATTATGGAATTTGTAATGGATAGCATAAATATAGCAACAAATTTTAATTTTTTTAAATATGGCAAAATATTTGAAATCTTATTTTCAATTTTTTTAGTTATTTCGATTTTATCTTTTCAAATTGTCAAATACATCAATGAGATATCAAATAGATAAATCGATGGTATACCAAATAAAGTAGGTATATATATATCTATTATGGTGTATAAGGTTTATCATTATTTGGATTTCGTGTTTATCAAGGGTATATTGTAAAAAAGAATAATGATATCTACTTTTGCAAATTCTTATGCCAGCGTCCCGGGGGACGAAAAAACCTTCTTCTTGCCAATAAATATCACAGATAAAGGGAAAGATATTATTAATGCAATACCCAATTGGGATTACATAAACAATTCCAGCAACGGAATTAACTGACAATTAGACAAAAAGATTAACAAAAACAAAGAGAAATTATAACAAGAGATGGGCGTCGGGAGGAGATTTGGGTTTATTACTGCACTATGATTTATTATTGATATGTGAGATCTAAGGAGTGACGCCGATAAACCCATTGACGCAAATCCACTGACCAATAAAGAGATTGGAGCAATTGATATTTGGATTAATAAAATTAAATTGTGTAGTGCTCAACTTAAATGTTCGGGCAAGAGCAAAGCAGGTGTCTCCACTTTCTACTCCATGAACTTTGTTGCATTGCAAAATCAATCTACCTGTACTTCAAATACGAGCTATTGATGATGAAACTTTTAAGAGTATATTAGCTAATGAAGTTTAGAACAAGAGAGTGATAATATTATCTTAAAAAACTGAAGAACTTACGGATGGGAGTTTGACTTTCGACCGAAATTGAAAGGACGAGAAGAGAGATGGCGAATAGAAAGGTAAGATTCATGGCAATTGAGGTAGCAGCCTTGGCCATAATTTGGTTTCCTCTGTTTTTGGTGAAGTAGAAGGCTGTTTTGTGGGTGTTGGGTTTCATCAAAGTCTCCCAATTTATAGCTCCAAAATTAGAACAAGGGAGCGTTGCCATCTAAGTTTCAAATATGCAGAGCCAAAGCCGGCCTTTGGGTAGGCGGATGTTACTAGAAGAATCAAAAACCTGATGCTCTCTTTTGGATTTGGTAGAATTTAAGGTGAAAACCAAAAGCATATTTAGGAGAAACACTTCCAAAACTACTTGATTATCCTAAAATCATTTGAAAAGATTAAAAATAAAATGAGTTTGACAGTTTTACCCCAACCCCATTAAAGTAATTTAGATGATTTCTGACCTACCTTTTGCTACCACTGCTATCAACCAATTCCTCCTGTATATATATACCCCTACAATCCATCTCTTTTTATTAAATCCAAAACTAACCACCAGCACTTAGCAAACAATGTAGGACTAGGCAAGTAGTCCAACAACCATTTCATCGTCATCGTCTTATTTCGAAAACCGTTTCGAAGCTCCTATCACGACTCAGTTGGCATACATAAAAAAAGCAAGTTGGATGCTATGAGTCGGGAATTGTCCGAATCCAATGACCAACTTGTCGAGTTAGAGGGGATGTGTACCTACGTAGAAATGATGTTGAACGAAGTGACGGCTTGGGTAGACCGACTGGATGATCAGAAAAGGATGCTTCATGATCTAGTAACATCATTGGGCGCTAGTTTGCGTGCCATGGGGGCGTAGCATTAAAGTAATAACCATCCTTTTTTGGAACACTGTCATTTATCTCATGCGCAGTGTCCTTCCAAGTTCATGTGTGTGGTTCTGTTTATTTAGTTATTTATTTTTGTTTGAAAACAGCCACACATGCCACAAGCTCTCTCGTTCTCTCTTTTGTCTTTCATCTCGCTCTCGCAACTTTCCGATAGGTCGTGACCTATCATATTCCCAACACATGGGAAACGTACATACAGAAAAACGAAATGTCATTCTACAACGCAATTAATATATTCAAACTTACATTTAATGTACCTTACAAACCATCTATCTTCTAGCTCCTATATATAAAATAATACTTTGTAACCAAGTTGTGAAATCATTACATTTCTGTTACATCGTCCTCAATAAGAAAGATCTTTTGCAACCAAGAAATGTCTTCTCACGAGGCAACAAGTTTGCTAACAATACCGTTTTCTTTAGTGGGAGAAAATTCTCATGTGGATCCTACCGTGCTTGGATTAAGAGAAGCAGAGAAGGAAATTCAACAACTGAAGAGAGAACTTTATACAGTCACACATGAAATCAACAACACATGATTCATGTTAAAGGAATCAAGGAAACTTGTTCCTTGCTAGAAACAATGGTTAACAAAGAGTTCAATAGTAGACACTGACATGAGATAGAGAAAAGACAACTCGCAGATAGAGTCGTTGAATTGGAGGCCTATTTTCGATCCCTAGGTAGGTAGATGTCGTCAAGATCCCTATCCTTTATTTACTTTCAATCATTGTAATTTTATATAGTCCTCACATTTTATGAATGGTTAGTTAAATTTTTATTGAAAATCAAAATTATTCTAATCATATATCGTTGTCGCTCTCGCTCTTTGTCTCGCTGTTTATCATGAATACACATTTGAACTTCTCAATTACTAGAAATTCACAACTGATTCATTGCATTTTGAAATGTTCACACGTCATTACACCAATTTAATGCTCACCTAACCACATTCAATGGATGTTAATTTCATAACTCTTGTTCGTCTTATATATGTAACATACATACGCAGTCAAATTTTATCATTTATCTTATTTTATCTAATCTCTTCGTTTATCTTCTCTTTTGTACTTGATAAATATAAAGAAAATGTTGAGGAGACTACCACTAGAATGAGAGTATCTAGTACGTCATCATAGAGGGATATGAGCCAAAGAGAGAGAAGACGATGAGTCAATATCCAAAAAATTTCAAATGAAAAAACTAGAGATAAAAGTGAACTTATTACCCAAGCTAGTGGAGGGACAAAGAGAGTAATTTGGTTCAGAATGTGATATTAGCAAAAGGTTAGAAAACAAGAAAGATATAAATAAAGTTGCCTTAGTAAAAGACTTATTCAGTTGAAAAACCCAAAATATTTGACATGTTTGAAAATATAGGGATAACTCTAGATTCTGTAAATATCATAAAATATTTGAAATTTTATCTTTGTTTTTTTATTCATTTCGATTTTACCCTTAAAGATTTTGAAATATATCTGTATATCATGTATTGGTTGGGCCGTTATGTTTTGCTATTTTCAAAATTGAAGAGTGGCTTTTATAAATTCTGATACTTTTTCAAACTTCCGTTGAAGTTAAAAAAAACTTATAAAGCTTCTTCCTAAACCAATAAATTTCAAATAAAGAGGGAAATATATTATTAATGCAATAGCCAATAGGATTGAGATTACATAAACAATTCCAACAACGGAATTAACTGCCAATTAGACAAAAAAAGATTAACAAAACAAAGAGACATGAAAGACGAGAAACTGTGTTGCATTTGAGAAGTGATGAAATCAGACGAGAAAGCCATTCACGCAAACCCACTGACCAATGAAGAGATCAGAGCAATTGATATTTGGATTAATAAAATTGAATCGTGCAGTGCTCAATTTAAATGTCTGGACAATAGCGAAGCATGTGTCTCCATTCTGTACTCCATAAACTGTGTTGCATTGCAAATTCAATCCACCTGTGATGTATAATAAAACTTTTAAGAGTATATATAAAAATTCAATCATTCTACCTTCTTAATTAGTTAATTAGGTAATGAGGTTTAGAATGAGTGTGATAATATTATCTAAAAAATGAAGAACTTACCGAAGAGAGATCGACTTTGGACAGAAATTGAGAGGATGAGAAGAGAGAGGGCGAACAGGAAGGTAAGATTCATGGCAATTGAGGTAACGGCCTTGGCCATAATTTAGCTTCAGGCTGTTTTGTGGGTGCTGGGTTTCATCGAAGTCTCCCAATTTATAGCTCCAAAATTAGAATCGAGGGAGCGTTGCCATCAAAGTTTTCAAATATGCAGGGCCAGGGCCGGCCTTTGGGTAGACGGATGCTACTAGAAGAATAAAAAGCTTGATGCTCTCTTTTGGATTTGGATTTGGATGAGCTCTAATTGCACACTAAACGGGCCAACATAAATATCAAAAGTAATTTTGAAACTTCAGAAATGATTCATGAAGAAATCTTTGTTATTGGATTTGGTAGAATTTTAAGGTGTAAAGTCCTTTTGGCCTATCACTTGATTGTCCTAAAATCATCTTAAATTCTACAAAAAGAATGACCCTGAGATTATGCCATAATAGTTTTGATTTTTAATTTGGAATGTGAATGGATTATGCATTTCAAATTAGTGTCTTTTTACCTCCGAAGCTAGAATCCAGTTGTCAAAATATTGCCCAATAATAATAATAAAAAAAAAAGAATGCCTTTCATTAGTCCATTTTCGTATTCTAAATTATAAATTTCACAGATGTTGATCCATCACTAACCTGTCCTCTTTTGCAGAGCCAAAGATAAAAGTAATTCGAAATGAAATGAATTTCTTCGACACATTACATTTCTCTGTGGCCATTTTATTAGCGAGAGAGAAATCAATCACATTATCTACATATAAAAGAGTAAATCCCATTCGGTGTCTTAAATTACACAAGACTTTACCTCAGGGGTTTTCTTTCAATGGAAATAAAATAAGTTCATCTAAACAATATTTTCGACCATATATGAAAAATATTACATAACTTTTTAAAGGGGGTAGAATTGATGAGACTCGACAGTTCATTTGAAATCCCTTTCAAATACAGAAGCGAAGCATTGCCGGAAAACTGAAACCAAACCTATACAGAGTCTACCCCTTCAACTTGCTGTTTCGCCAGATATCTTTCCCTCCGCTCTTTCTGAACAACACACAAAATGGAAGTACATGAAGAGTGTTACAGGATTTTAAAATTTGACAACACTTTTGTAGGAAACCAAAGGATTAACTCACCCATTCGTCTATCACGAGCCCTTCTCCAATGATTTTGGGGCCTGATTCTTCTGGTGGTTTCTTGCGTGCCTCGAGCGCAGCATCGGCCTCAGCTAACTGGCGTTTCAATTTTTCTAAAGCCTTCAGAAATGAAAAGGGTTAGTCCTCAAATGGAGTTTGTTCAATAAAGATTTCCTACGTGTCAGTGTGAGTTTAGAGAAATTCTGATTATAGTCATTCAAATAAATCAACTTACTGCATTAGGACGTTCTGGATCCAGGAAAACAACCCGCAGTATCTGTTCTATAGACACTTGGTCCTTCTGCTCATCAAACTAGATCAAGAGGAAAAAGGAAGAATTTTTATTTGGTAAGTTAAAAAAGTTATTTTGCAGGGTTGGAAGAAAATGCATTTCGAAAGTATTAGGCACAACACCAAATTCTTCATAGTAAACACAAACTCGTCCAGACCAAAAATGGATTAGAATATAACCTCAATGAAGTTTTCATTACATGTCTTCTTTACCAGAAACAATTCACGTGACTTTCTTACAAGCAAAAGTAAAGCAAGCAATAGACTGCCGGCCACTGTATGTGATGCAGCATATACCACTAGGGATGGACCGGCTATCAAAAGTTCCTTATCATTAAAATTATCAACCAAAATTTCTGGAAATTCATATGCAGAATTGGTACTTGTTTCAGTGTGGCCATTAGTAACTTAAAACGACATCCAAACCTGGGGTGGGTCTCAATACAGCCCTCTAATTTTGTCAAGAATAAATTAAAATTCATCTAGATATTAACAATTCCATTGTGACCATCAACAAGCTAAAATGAAATTATGCAATATTGCATGTTTGCAGCACTAAAACATTGATTAACTTGTTCACATTGAACAAAACATCCAGCAAAAAGTAAATAGTTGGAGATGGCTGAGCAAAGGGAAGGGAGGGACGCACCAGCTCAGGCACATAATCCATTGGTCCTTTCACCTTCAAGCTCATAATTTTAAACTTAACCCTGTTGTTCTTTTGATCCACAGGTTTCTCGTTGTTTTCAGGAACCTCGACAAACTTGAAAACTAGGAGATCCATCCAACATTGACAGCAATTAAAAAATGAAAATTAATAAGAAATATTAAACTCCCCAATTTGAAGAACAATTGAAGGAAATAAGCAAAATGGATTATCGCAGCTTTTATATATGAACCTAAGAACAGAGAAAAAATGGATATGAAATCCAGGAAAATAATTTACCAGTGGCTATGATGCTCTCTCCAGGGGCAAGTATAGCTCCAGGAGGACGCATGAAGCAGCTTTTTGGTGCAGTTGTTTGGAACTATAAGAAGTTAAAACAGTGGATCAATAACCACAACAAAGCCGAATTTTGTAGACAATAATAGGAAGAAAGCTATTTTGGAAATTATAACTACTAGCAAGCATACAAACTCACAGTCCACTGATGAAGCAAACTGTAAAATTCCAACCCACCATGCTTGAAATTTGGATACAACAATGCACAATGATATGTCTCAAATGGAAATTTAGGACGTTTGCTCGTACCTTGAATGCAGCATAAGACTTGCTTGTGTTTTTAATTCCAATGGCACTCCTGACCTGCTTCCCAGGTTCATCTTCAAAAATAAAAGATAACAAAGCAAAGGTCAATGAATTAAAACTAAGATCAATCGGAAAACCAAATCAATTAGAGAATTTCCAACTTTCTAAAACATAAATGCAACTGCGATAGGTTAAAAGTCAACAATAGATCGAGATCATACGCAGTAGACAAATAATACGCAGAATAAATCCAACCAAAAGCAATCAAAGAAGAATTCACAAGAAAAGAGCTCACAAGGAAAGAAGAGCTTATTCGATGGATCGAGCTTGAGACGGCGGCGCGTAGGGAGCAGCGACCTGGCAACGGAGGAGACAGAGGCAGAGGCGTGGGGATTCGTCCCCTCCACCGGCGGATGAGTGTGGTGAGAGGTACGCGAGGAAGTAGTAGCGGAAGTGGCGGAATGCCTAAACGTTAGCTTCAAAAAACCCCAAACCTTTCCATCGGACGTTGACTTTTGATCTTCTATGGCCATCATTGGAAGCTCGCTGAGCTGAATCAGAGCATCGGACAATGAAGAGACTCGTCGACGGCGTCTGAAAATTCACGTCACGCTCAGCAGAAGCAGAAGCAGCAGCGGCCGCAGCAGGATCAGGAGCAGGAGGTGGCCGTTAAGAGGAGGAGGGGTCACTTTTTAGCTTCGTTTTCGGTGGAAGCGGAAGGTGGGCATGGGCTGGTGTTAGAGAGAGAGAGAGAGAGAGAGAGAGAGAGAGAGCGAGAGCGGAACTGAAAAGAATTAAATTGAAGTGGAGAAAGTGAGTTGAGGTCCGGACGCCCCGTTTTAGCTTTTATTGAATGTTGTTGTCCTTGGGTACATGATTGGCGGGGGAAACTCATCGATCCACGCGTCTAAAACCTTCTCTTCAATATGCCATTGCTTGTAAATATCCACTTTCCTTTTCTTTTCTTTTCTTTTCTTTTCTTTCTAATAAAATCAATTCAAATATCGTTCCTAGTTTCCTACTTCATGCGCCATTTTTTCTTCTTAACGAAGACAATTCGATGCCCAAATATTCAAACCCCCCTATCATTCTTCTGTATTAATTAGATTTTATTAGTTGATCCGCCTCTTTTAAATACCTTACTCATTTCTTTTGCCATTTGAAGCATACTTTAAGTCGCTAAGCTTCATTATTAAAATTAAAAATTGATTTTTGACATTTATACTCTTTCCTACGGGAGAATGAAAATTTATCTACGGTAGAAATGAAGTAATTGAGATTTTGAAAAATAGATACCAATTTGGGGAAATCAGTTTTCCCCACATCCGGCATGAGGGTAATATCTTAGCCCATGCATTGGTGAGTTGCGCAGGATGAGATGCGCGGTCAATGTAAAATTTGGAGGAGAGTTTGGTTCGTCTTCCACCACGGTTTTGGCACGTGTAGGGCGAGGTATTAGGGATTGTATCTATATGTGCCTCCATTCTTTTTAATACTTCCTTTTATGTCTCTTTTTTCCATTTCAAAATAAATAAATAAAAAATCAGCCAAATCGAACATAGTTTAGACATTTACTATCCTTCGAAGGTGAATGCTTCGATTTCCTCGATAATTCAAATAGATTATACATTTGTTACAACTCCATTTTTGYTGAACTCGAAGAAGAAATATCTAATTTATAAATGTTTTCTAGAACCTTTTAGTTAATTTGTTTGAGTGATGGCAAGTTGTAGCTCGCCTAATTAAGCATATATCTCCAAAAGATGATGATTTCTAATACCCATCCTTACTAAAAAAAATATTAAATCATTGATAACTATTTTTATTTCATATTTTATTTTCTAATTTTTTTTTTACAATATCTAAATAATTCTTCATTTTATATGAGTGCTAAAGCATTTATATAATATATAAATAACATAGCAAATCGTTTAAATTTTTTTGTAGGAAAATAAAATAATTCAAATTAAAGTGGCATGTGAAATATACTTCAAAAAAAAAAAAGGCAAATTTTGTATTATATTTGAAAAAAATTGATTATATATTATATTTAAATACATATTATAGGAAAGGAAATTTCCTGTGTGTGTGTGTTCTTCCATTGAAATATTGGGTCTAAAGATCTGACTCGATCCTTTTAAAAATGAGTGGATGACTTGTTGAGCTTGACCATTTCTTATATGTTCTCAAATTCAAATTGAAAATAATTTTTAAAAAGGAACATATAATAACCAATCGTCTAAGGTGGTTGCTGACTTTTATTGTTTGATTGGTTCAAATTCTTATTCCTTTTCCCTCGATCCCATCCCACTACTACCCGCTACCGGATATATTCTTCAAATTATTTATTTCTATTTAAATTTGAACTATGGTCTCAATATTCATTATTATTTATTTATTTATACATGTGGCTGTTTGATTCAAGTTGCAGACACCTCGACTCGCAACCACCTGATATTACTAGGTAGATAGTCATCATTGTACTTATTTCTTCTAAATCCCTTTTTATTGAGAAATCCATGTTTAAAATGTTTGTATGAAGACAGTATTTTATCCATCATCAACTAAACTAAAACTGGGAACATCCACTCTATCCTATTTCTTTTTTTAATTATATATTTTAGAAAAAAAATTAATAAGGCTCCTAATTCTGCCCAATCACCAAATACTTGGTGATTCTCTCTATAATAAGGCTCAAATTTTGACCTCCTAAAAGTTTTAATAATTTTACTTTTTAAATGAAGAGAATTATTTTTTTATTTAGATTTTTGAAAAATTAAACGGGGAACGACCTTCAAAAAAAAAAAAGAAAAAAAAAACTGATCTTTTAGAATAATTCCCGCCTCGATCCCTACAAAATTTATAGATAATTTAGCAGGAATAGTAATGAAATGGGGATGGGGACACTCCTATATGAGTGCTCTTTCACTGGATATTCAAATCAAATAAAATTTTGAAGTTACAGTGCAAAATCTTCGTTTTACCAAAATTTGGGACGAATTAATAGAATCTTCCAAGTTTCTGGAGTAAATAAATCCTTCGGAAAAAATTCTCTTCATTTAAAGTTTGTATATTTAGTTATTTTAATATATAAAAATTAATAAAAGATCACATATAAATTACATATATATGTATCATAGAATTTAATCAAATCTAAGACTATACGTGTTAAAGATTTGTATGGTAGAAATATGGTTATTTTTTTCATCTCATAATTTTTCCATGGTGATTAGTTCATAAATGAAATTTAATTAGATTTCCTTTGGACAAGGTACATGAACTAATTCTCCAAGAAGTAGTCGAGAAAATGATTAAATTAGAAAGGAGAGAGTAGTTAAAGTATTACTTATTTGATTTATAGAGAAAAAATGTGTATTATATATTAGTTGTACTAAAAAAATGTGTATTATATTAGATTATTATGACATAAATTAAAGTGTAGTTAATATATAATATTTAATTAATCAAAAGGGCGAGATAAGCTTTGAATGGTAAAATTCCCTGAAATTTCTACTTCTATGGGCACAATGACCCCTTGCTATATTTAATATCAAGACTTGTTCTATAGTCAACATTGTTAGACAAAAATTCCCTATAAAATAAAAAATAAAAAAAACCATTATTAGACCAAAATAAAAAGCTCAATTAGTCCACGCCGTCCACTAATGCCACCATAATTAAAAAGATATTTGGCGTTTTTCACGGGTTAAAGAGATCGGCATCCTGGTTTCTTCTCCCCACCCATGATTTTATTTTTATGATTTTAAAATACAATAATTAGTTATTGATATTAATCAATAATCATTTGTTGTAATTGTGGATTTGGATCACCTTCCATTTTAAAAGGTATGCTGGTTTCATTCATTTGCCTGTATTTCATGCGTAAGTCGATTTTCAATCTAAATTTTAATAAAAGTTTTAACTCAATAACTTAACTTTCTTTTATAAAATCATAAAATTCGTACAGCCTAAGTTTTGGTAGTATTTACTTGGGGTGTAGGTTTATGTAGCCTCTATGTATCTCATATTTAAAGTGGAAGGTTGTATAGTATAGGTTAGACGCAATTAATATATCCATTTTGATTTTAGTATTTCTTTAATTTATGTGAGAAAGATAGTAGAAGACGAAGTCACAAGCGTAGATTTAGAGACGTCAGAGAATAATGTAGAGATGAGAAAATTGAAGTGAAGACCCATTGAAAGACCGATGACAATAGACTGGTTACAGAAATGTGAAAGACATCATATATTAGGTGAAACAATACATGGGTTAGAGGATTATTAGACCCTAAAATTTTAAGGGGGATACCCAAGCCAATCGCATCCCACCAAACCCGTGGCCCAAAACGTTGTTTCTGTTTTTATATTGTTCGTGAGTGTTTATATTAACTTACCACACTTTTACTAATCATAAAATTAGGATGTTCCATGTACTAAAAAAATATTTTATACTTTTTTTAAAGGTTGATTGGGAGACTAAGCCACTCTGCTATTTTTTTCTTTTTTCTTTTTTTAAATTTGAGCATATCTAAATTAATTAAGACAATTATTTTTAATAAAAAAATATTGAATTCAAATCCCTACACATGTTTTTTGTTTTGTACTTAAATTAAAAAAATGAGTAGTTTTCAACTTTTTGTACTTTGTTTTTAAAATTAAGCTAGGATTTGAAAGAGTATTTTTAAGAAGTACAAATTTAATAAAACAATTGTTAGTAAATAAATTTAAATTTAAAAAATAAAAATAAAAATTTAAAACAAAAACTGTTTTATGTTTTTTAAAATTATTTTTATTTCTTAACAACTTATTTGGTATATTTTTCACAACATGTGAATGGGTAGATTTTAAAAACAAAAGTAGTTTCGAACACGTTTTAAAAAAATGAAACAACRTAACAAAAATGACTAAGTGTTTATAAGTTTAATATTTAAAAATATAGAACTAAAAAAATGTYATTCAAATAGGGGCTAAAGATTTTTCTTTTTCTTTTTGTTAATTTTGAACGCAATATATATGATTGATAATTAAACTCACAACCTCTTGATTAAACTAYCAGATCGACAAATAGTGTATAAGATTGAAATTTAAAAGAATTTTTTTTRTTATAAACTTTTTCACTTTTTGAATTCAAYAGGTGGATGTTAGAAATTTTAAGATTTAACTCGTATCCAATTATAAAGATACTCAAACAATAAGTAAACTTGAACATAAATGAAAGTAGTTCATGGATCAAATCTSTAGCCCATATATTATTATTGAACCAAAAAACAGAACAACTAGTAAGTTTGTGGACCAAAATCAGACTTTAATATTATTTTAGTTTGTTAAATAAATAGGCATTCAYGCGTCTCGTGTTAAAATGTTAATTAAATTAAAAAGGGAATTAAATTAACAAATTTCCCAAATATAATGCAATTTTCATTTTGAAGAGGAATTAAAATTGGAAGAAAACCTCAGAAGGTCAGGTCAGAATCATCCCATTGAAGAACAGCGGAGTCCAAATTCTGCTCTCTTTTCAACTTATCCTTGAGAAACCAGTCGCATAATCTGCCAGCATTCAACTCCTCGATCGAACATTTCTCTTCCTCCGCTATTACTCGCAGTAAATTCAGAGACGATATCTGCAAAAAAACAAACAGAATGAAAGGAAGTTGGAAATTAATTAACGACGGCCACAGAGGCAGAGAAAGAAATACCGTCAAACGACACAGAAAGCGCTCGTGAGTGCTGAGGCCGGATACTTCGACGAGGCCGGCCTCTTCGACCGTCAAGAAAGTTCGTCTTTGAGCGCTGTTTCCTCCGGCCTGTTCGGCGCGAACAACTCTGAATCTGAAGTTTCTTTTTCCGAGGATTATTGAGTTTGTTGGGAGTGGGAGTGCAAAATTGGAAGGAATTGGACGGAGATTTAGAAGATTTGAAGAGTAGAACGGAAATGAGGATCCATTTTGGTAAGCGCAGGGTCCGAGTGAGATCATTCCTGGTTAATTGTTGAGGTGAAAGGATCGGACGCTGAGGCTTATCGGTTTACTCTTTGCTTTTGTGTGGTTGAGAGAAGAGAAGAGAAGGTATGCATTTTGTTCCAATTGGATTGGGCATTTTCGGAAATTTCATTAAATACTTAATAAATATTTTTTAGTCCATCGATTTTTCGGCCTCTCATGTTTCAAAATTCTACATTTTTACCTCTACTCTTCGTAAAATCCTTTTAATTTACCTTCAATTTTTTGTTAAAAAAAATAATTACAAATTTGTGAATTAATAAATATATATAAATACACGACTTGTTGTCTCCTCAAGAAACAGATTTAAAAAAAAATATATACATATATATCTGTAGTTGCCATCTCATCGTTTTGAGGATACGATCATATTATTGAAAATAGTTTGATGGATGATATATTTTTAAATAACTTTAATAACAAGCAATATTAAATAATAAAAAAATCYGTGATGATATTGATATGATATGAGTTGATTTATATCGAATTTGGAKGATAATAATTGATTAAGATGTATTTTGTTTAGTTGACATATTGGTCATTATTTTTTAAATTTTATTTAGTGTTAATTCAAATTTCAAAATAAATCAAGTGAAATGCAATAACTGGAATTCTCAAATTCAATGCTTTTTGCAACAAGAATTTACAATACAGAGCGTGATTATTACAACATCATATGATGTCTAGGAATAAAACAGAATTAGATTTCATTCAATATATAGGGGAAGAAGAAAAAATGTGTCAAGTAGGAGCCCAAGAACTCAAATACATGACAGTCCTTAGAGACTCTTCAGCTCTCTTAAGCCTGTGGCTCTCATCGGCGCCGGAGTTGCATTYGGAAGAAGCAGCAGAAGTTGAMTCCTTGAGAGACTTCAAGGCCGTGGGATCGCTCTTCACCGCCTGATCTCGCGTCCTCTGTACAAACCGTACCGCGAATTGCCCCAACGCCCTGCTCATGCCACGCCCAAATATCAATTTTGAGGAAAATCAAGGGGCTTATGGTCATATTTATGGTAATCAAGGAAACAAAAACAGATGGGAGAAGATAATGATGGGGTAGCGTGGTTCGCAAGAAAAGTTGGTGCGATTGGAAGCTWATTTGGATAAGGAGAAGAGGATTCAATTCAATTTTCCACRTCATTCTCTGCTGTTTTTTGCTCAGCACATACGAAATCGTAGTGCGACCGCGACCGCGACCGCGACCGGAGCTTCCGTGAAGGTCACCGTTGTTGGGCCGGACCCATTCTCAACTTAAATCGGCCGCGTTGGGCCTTCTTCAGCCCACCGCCTGATCTCAACGCATAGCACTGCTTCGTGGCTCCTGGTCAGTTCAATCTCAACTTCTCAACTTACATTAGATCATCGCCATAAGACTCACTCTGTGGAGTCTTGAAAATATCCTGATTCCCGCTATGTATCTGCTTCACTCTTCTTCTTCTTCTTCTCATTTCTCCACTGTTCGATGGGCTCCTTCTCCTCGTCGTCTCTCTGCAACTCTACGCAATCGATACTGCAACGTAAGGTCTCTTCTCTCCATCTTTGGGATTCCGTTTGATTTTTTTTCCTCTTTTTGGAAATTCGTATGTGTGCCTGACGCTTTATTGATTTCTTTCTTTTTGCGGTGTACTTCTGTCTCCAGGTCCTGTCTGCCATTGCCGATGCAGAATGCCAAGTATCGGCGAGAGCTTCTAGCAGCTGTAGATGTGGTGCACAGGGCTTGTCGTCTCTGCGTTGACGTAATTTCCTGAATTTTCTCCTCGTTAATTATTATTTGTTTATAGTTTTCTGTTTGGGTGCTGTGATAAGTCATTTAGGAAGTAAGCTATGAATCGGTAATTATAAATCTCAATAAAACCGAATTGTGGTTATATGATAACTGTAACCACTAGATTTCTATCATGATAATGTTAATGGAAGCAACCACCACCGGAAGGTCGATCAATCCAATCTCTCTTGTTCGATAATTGGCAGGTGAAATCGTCGCTTCTATCGACTGATGGACAAATTTTGGAAAAGAATGATCAAACTCCAGTCACTGTTGCCGATTTTGGTGTTCAGGCGCTAGTCAGTTTGGGTAATAAAAATTTTGTATTATACAGCATTGGTACATTTCGCGTATCCGTAAATGCTGACGATGCAATAGTTCTACTTCTGCCGACTTAGTCAGTGACACTAATGCAATGTTTGTTATTATCTTTTATTCTTTTTTTTTCCTCTTTTTTTTTTTGACAGATTATCAATTTACACATTCTATAAGTTATTTATACATCTTCTATTTCCTTTTTATGATTTTAGTTTGGTCATGTTCCATACGCTGATATGCAATTATTCATGTCGATGGAAGTAACTTCTACTAGTTCATTTCTTCCCTCCACTCTTCTTGATGCAGAGTTGGGTACTCTATTTCCATCGATTCCATTGGTAGCTGAGGAGGATTCTACATTTTTACGTTCAAATAATTTGGCACATTCAGTACTCAAAGTAGTAACTCATAAGTCAAGTTCTCAAAATGAATTGACTCAGGATGATGTGCTGGAAGCAATTGACAGGGGAGCTAATGCTGCCTTTGCTTTCGGAAGTAAGCCAGCCACATATTGGGTGGGGATCCCAAATTGTGTTCTTTGTCTTGTAACATGGAAAATATTTGTGTTGGGTTTTATTTTCTTCAATTTATCTTTGAGTGTCATCATTTCCATTAAAATCTACATATTATCTTCCTTGAACAAAATTCTTCACTGCTAATGTTTTAGGTTGTGAAGATACCACTTCATTTGAAATGCAAGCATTTAAAGTTTCCCCTTCAAACTGTTTCATCTACTTCTGAAGATACCTAAGCTTTGAATTTTTCAGCTTTTTCCTAAACTCTCGATTTAGAGTTACACATTATCCAATTGAATGAGCTCCCAATGCAGGTATTAGATCCAATTGATGGTACACGAGGATTTCTAAAAGGAAATGATGTCCTATATGTGGTATGTCATCTAACTCAGGCTGTAGCATTGTACTTGTGTTATATATACATAGACAAGTAGGAGTTCTTAGAAAATTCAGTTTCAGTTTTGGATACCTGCTACTATTTTCCAACTATTCAAAAAACTGCAGGTAGGTTTGGCCCTTGTGATTGAAGGAGAGATTGTATTAGGTGTTATGGGATGCCCCAACTGGCACGGAGATTTGTCTGAAAAGTCAAACTCTGAAGATCTTGAACGTGGAGGTGTCTGGTCCAGATCAGGAACCATAATGATTGCTCATGCTGGATACGGAACATGGACAAAGAGATTATCAGATATGCAGAGCCTGAGCAAAGTATTTCACAATTGGGCTAGATGCTTTGTTGATGACTACCGACTTGTGCATGAGGCACGCTTCTGTATTCCAGATAGCCAAACATGGGAATCGCTTCCCCCATCTACTTTTTTCCAGGCAACGACTAATGCCGATCAAGTTGGGGAAGGTCAAATTCTCCTTCTCCGAACATGTTGTGGAAGGTTAATTTGCTACTTACATATTTTATGCATCCTTCCCTAAAAATATTTTTCCACCTGAAATCCTGATCACGAATATGTAGAGTTATTGCAGTGCATGGCTTCTTAAATTTGTTCATCAATTGCGTAGATTGGGAAGATTAATGATCTATAGGACTCATGTATCTGTTTCTTGAACATGTCTCCCCCTTCAGTACACAAATTTAGTTGGACTTGGACATTGCTTGAAGATAAATGCAGTAAAAGAATCAAATATAGGGCAAAATTGTGTGATGTTCAGATGAAAGAAATAGACTCTCACTAATGGTTTTAGTYGCATTTTATTTTTAACATGCACGGCATCTTCATTTCATTTGCCTGCAGTTTGTGCAAGTATTTCATGGTGGCTTCTGGTAGGGCATCTGTTTTCATTCTTCGAGCAAAATCTCAAACTATTATCAAGGTATTTCACTGTTTCTTTTTTCGACGTTTAAGAACAACAATATCACCTCAGCAAAAATTAATATTGAATGTTGAAATACAGGCTTGGGATCATGCAGTTGGCATGATTTGTGTGCATGAAGCAGGAGGGAAGGTGTGCTACGTTACCCTTTTTGAAAAGTTTTATAATCTTGACTTTTTCCCCGTTTATTCTACTTACACGTTGGTTGGTATTTCTTTTAATGCTTTTTCMAGGTTTAGAGTCGGGGAGTGAACTATTCTTTTAACAGGATTGCTCATGTTTGAAAAAGAAAGAATTATAGTTATAATGCCATAAATTGAGCTATCGGAAATTTACTGTAGGATGTCTTCGAGGGACAGTCCAGTTGGCAAGKACCTGAAGTTTCTTGGTCATACTGGCTTAGAAGTCTCAARTTCGACCTTTCTTGTGAGTTTAATACCAAAAATCCTTGGTGTCTCCTAGGTCCAGGTCTTGAGGTGGGCATGGGTGCCCCTGGATATAGGAGAGCAAAGCGCCGACTCCCGGTTATCAAAAAAATAAATAAAATTACTATAGCCTACAGGATACTGAATCACCGCAAATAATATTATTTTTTAACATCAAACTGGTTCTAATTTGCAGAAGTGTTTTCTTTTCCTTTTCCTGATAAATCTTGGAAATATTACATGGTACGTTCCAAACTCTTTGATTGTCGAAGAAAGTAAACAACATTCAGTCATTCTGCATTGATATGCTGTCTGATTCTGATGCTTCAAGCCTTCAATCTACCATGGAAACATTAGAAGTAACTCTATGTCTTGTCATGTCATTGCTTCTTTGATTAGCAACATCCATCTTTTCTTCTACGTATCTAAGTGATTGTACTGTACCATTGATCAGAAGTATTATACACCATCTATATGATATAATGAAGTTACCAGGGAAATACAATAATAATCACTTTAACTATATAGTGACAAACATTGGTTTTACTGCAAAGAATTACTTCAACTTTCTCCTGGTTTTTAGATTGTTTGTACTAAATCTATTAATTGTTAATACAGGTGGATAACTGTCAATGAATCATTAGAGTTACTAAAACTCTCTCCAAGTAGCACGAGTAAATGAAAAATCAAAATTACAAAAAGCTTTACTTGAGGCACAGCAAGGACTCACAATTTTCCCAATGAACTGGCTATCTCCTCTTCTCCTGAGAATACTTTTCTTATTCCTCTTTAGCTGTATTTCTCATAAAATGACTCTAGTAGCATTAAGCCATAAAGCCTTGGCATTTTTTAAGATGGCCGCACAGAATAGAATTAAGAAACTTGTCACCAATCCTAGAAGATGAGAAAGTTTCCTATAAATCACTAAATCTAGAAAATCAAAATTGTAGCTGCAAGAACTTCATGATTATGGTTCGGGGAACTACAAAGTTATTGACAGTTAGCGTTGAGAATATCTGGACAAATAATAATAATCTTCAAAGTTTTGTATATGTATGATCCTGAAACATTTCAATTACTTCTTTGTGAGACACCTGAGTGAAGTTCTTATGGAGCTTTTTTTGTTTGATTAGGTGACTGACTGGCAAGGCAGTGACATTGATCTTGCTGCTGATCAAGCTGGCCGCAGGACTTTATCCCCTTCAGGTGGCGTTCTTGTCACTAATGGTCGCCTACACGATCTTATTATTGATATGACTGCATCCACTTCATCAATTCTTTGATGCTGAGACAACCTATCACCTAAATTTGGTAAGGCATGCCATCTTCTCTCCAAATACCCTTACTTTTCTTATCCACCTGAATCTTCCAGGTTTGAAGTACCTTCCAAATTAAGGGTATTGCTAGTTTGGGAATAATAAAAATTCAGTTCCTTAAACTTAAAACTTTGGCCAAAATACGATCAAGTAAAAAGGATCAACTGATTTACAGTTGTCCAAGTGGACGGCTGAACAATTATTGGGTACCCTGACACTTTAACTAACCATGGACTATGACAATAGATGGTGGTTGATTGATTCATTCTTTTACGTTCCTGCAAAAACTTAGACGTTTCCACCTGATTGTTTAATATTTGAATGTTGTCTGGTTGATCGGTATTAGAATCCGTGTGTGTGGCACACATGTACTTGATCCTTTTTTTCGTTTATTGATTGAGCACGTTCAATCTGTAGTTTAGGCATCCTGCCAAACACTCTCTGTGTTTCTCTGTGAATTCTTGATTTTGTTTATTTGTGCAAAAAGATATTACATTTTTGTCTCAGTTATTAAGTCTGCACAGAAGTTATTCGTTTTTACGTTCTCGTCTCGTAGGATAGTATATGTGCTGTTAACATCTTCCAAATGGCCAGTGTCTGAGATGGATTGTGCCTTCTTAACAATATCCCAGAAAATATTGGCCTTACTGTACTGAGAGACTTGTATGTCAGATCCCCTTCACCATTCCACAAGGATGCCTATTGGATCCCTCCAGCCTCTTTGGTCTTAAGAATGCTAGTTTTCCATAACCTCATCAATGGGGAAACAAACTGGGAAATTCCAAATGCATGCCTGTCATTATTTTTATCAACATAGAATTCAAGTTTTTATTTCCATGGCAGTTAAATATTCAGTTGATGGGGTTGAACTAASACAATAATATTTTTTGGTGGTGTTGCTTGTTCAACTTTCCGTAGATGCAGAGTCAAACCGTGAAAACTGTAGATTCGCATTTGGAGATCAACTGTGCAAGGTCCTGGGGGTAGATAATTACGGTAATGTACTGAGCTTATCTTCAATAATGTGAATGGTTGACCAATCAAGTGACTAATTTTATAATTTCAATCACATAAGTTCAATTATTAGGCTCTGATGCTACCTTGGATATTTTGTGCGATTCAGGTATTCTATTTACTGTGCATCCCCCCTCACAAAATACTCCAGGCTACAGACTTAGCCCAAAGGTCAATAGGGCTACAAACTCTAGGCTCTATTCTAGTTATATATTTACCACGGTCAAACTCGTTTTGTYCCCTTTTAGGTTGTACACCGATATCCTATCCAGTAAGATCAGGCCACCTGGACTTGTTTACTCCAATGAAACTTAGCCCACCGTAATTTTGTGAATAYTGYAGAGGTATATGAGAATTCCTCGCCTATCATGGGAGTTTTAGGCTGTTAAGCATCCTACATTAAAAAGAAAATGGATYTTGCATAGGTCTATAGTAGACATGAACTACTCCTCTCATTGCCAATTAATTTTGAAATGGAACCCATGAATATTGATATAGGCTAGGACAATTTTTGATATTGTCTTTTGCTTCCTCTCCCCGTATAAGATCAAACAATAATGGTTTTTTTAAGTCATAGGGGTTCCAGTTATGGCACAAATGGGTTTGCGTGGATTTAGGAAAAATGGAAAATCGGCATGATTATCAACTTTAGAAATCAGTCAAAGGTGACTGAAATGGAATTTTATTAAATAATTTTGAATTGTAATGAACGATCCAAAATCTACAAAGAATTAAAAAGTGAAACCTTCATGGGCATTAGTAGCGGTCCTAATTCCTAGACTACGCATTTCTGCTGAACAAATCWGATGGAGACGAAAGAAAAAGCACACACCCACCCACCCACTCACTATTCAATGTTTCAAACCTTGAAAACACAGATGATCAAAATCTACCAATTGTCCAATAWTTGCCCTCCGTTCAGTAGTAAACACGTGGCAATTATCTCGAGAAAGCAATACACGAAGCACAGATTTTGGACAAGTAGCAAACCTACTTGGCTAGAAGACACTAGCTTGCCCCCGTGGACCATTAAATAAAACAAAAGAAAAATGATACCTTTTCCATATCCTTGCATAATGGACATAAGATTTGCTACCTCGAGAATTCAGGCTGTCTCCATAAAACTCATCCCGAGGACTTGAATTGTGCTCATTTCCTAACATGTACCGTCGATCGTGGGTATTCATGTTATGTGTAATTTGGCCCCTATAAATATATAGTTTTATTAGTAGACATTAATTGGTGTGGTARGTTTTTAACTAATATTTAGCCACGTAGAAAGCTGTGTTTGATAAAGTGTGCACTCAATATAATTAATTGAATTTGAAATTGCATTCATTGTGAAGTCTTTCCCTGTAAAACTTTATCCTAACTCACATGCATGCTAATAAACTTGAGAATTCAAAAAAACATTTTTGTTGGTATGTAACTTTTCAAACAATTGATCCCTATATTAGGGTCCTTGAGTGATGCGATACTTATACTATTAGGTGCAAGAAAACCCAAACAAACAAAGCTAATGTACAGGCTTGGGGAAACAGTTGCTAGTCTTTTCAAATATTTGGTTGGTTTAAAATAATAATTTTGAAGTTTTCTTCCATTTTCAAATGTATTGGTTTAAAAATAAAGAAAACTTTGAGGAGGAAATGTTGCTGGGTTAATAAAATATTGTTTGACTGTACTGRTCTTAGATTAAGATGGATGGGAGAAACTTGTAGACATGGTTTTCAACTCCATGGCTTGTATAGTCTTCGAATTTATTCACTTTTTCCATGGTAGAAGTGACCATTAAGCATTATAAAAATGCATCAAGTTTAGAAGTAGAATTGGTGGGCAGCTGGCTCCAACTATTACAAGTCCAAAAGATTTTGCAGATCACTATCCATCTGAGACGTGTCCTATCTTCGTTAAATATGTAGAGTTTATTGACTTGTTTAAACCTAATTCTCTAATGAATAATAAATAAAAAACATAAACTTCTAATACTTTAAATATTAGCAATTTTTATGACTGTTAAGAAGTTCAAGTGATCAGAATTCACTAGCCAACTTATGTTGGCATATTTTGAGTCATGTACGAATACAACAATCCTTTTCCCACGGAAAAAAAAACATAGAGTTAAAGGGGGAAAAAAGACATAAATTTGCAGATTTTGAAGAAAAAATGTAGTTTGAAAAACACGGGCGCGTAGACTTTTAGAACAAATAATACAACATACGAACTTCGTTTCATGTCGATAGTGGGCCGACAAGGGATAGCTGTGACGTGGCGACTCGTAGATGGACTGATGAGGTCATCCAATCTGTTAGTCGAACGGCCCTGATGAGGACACGCATAAGATCCAGAAATTGAAGATTTCGAAAATCTTATGATTTATTAAACTAATGCGAAGTTATCATGTAATAATTGGGCCTTGAAGGCTACTTGGAGTTCCGTACGTTTTTCTCGTGTGAACGCAAGCAAAATTCTTCTTTCTTGGACAAAATTGCCCTTCTAATATATAAAAAAAATATGCCAAAAGGCCTTTTAGAGAACAGCCAGCCGTAGGACCCAATTCATAAAAGTCGACATAATAATTAGTCTGAGTATATTTTAAAGAGAACAATCATCATTTTTTTGCTTTTATTGCTCTTTTTTCTGTTCACAAACACCCAAAAGGCCGACGGTTTTTGGGTCTTTCCATTCCCAACTTTTGGAAGCTTTCAGATTGAGCTGCCATCGCTTAGCACATGAAAATCTATGTTCACTTGGTCACGTGGAGAAGATTGAAGAAGATAATATAATATTTAGCAGGAAAATACGACATTTATATTTTCAGAAAACAAAATCTGATTTTAAGTTACACAAAAATCAAGGTAGAGGTCAGAAATTAACATTTAATGGCGTAGAAGACTCGTTTTTTTCAGTACAACTGCCACTTGTTACTTATGAAGACCGACAACTTTGGTAGTGAGAGAGAGAGAGAAAATAAAAGGTTAATTAGCACATGTTCCACCTATTATATACTTTTTTCTCTTCCTTTTTCCTTTGAGGGATAAGTTGACGGGAAAACTGCCCTAAAGGGCCAAAGAGATAAGTCATTGGCGCAGACAAAAATTACAAATAAAAAGAAACAATAAATAACGTGCAGAGGTTGATAAGCTTATCGTGTAACAAATTGGTTGGTTTAATCCAACCCAACCCTCTCTATCACTATCCCTTAGATTTCCGTATATCATAATATTTTTGGGATTCTTGGATGTTGAAACTTTTTAAATCCTTTGCTATATGCTTAAGTTCCAATTGTTAAGATTAAAGCTGTATCAACATTTGATGAATTATCATCATCATATGGTCTTAATTACTCGTACCAAATCATGTATTGTTAGAATTCTAAAATTTCTCTTTTTTTCAGTCTCGTTTTCCTGTAAATGGGCGAGATGAGAAAGAGAGAGTAAAGTTTGCTAGGTGAAGGTAGCCAATGAGAGGAAGCCATGCATGCAAGAAGAAAAAAAGGCATTGGAGAGGGGGTGGCGCAATAGGATCTTTGAAGAAGAAGAAGAAGAGCCACGTGGCTTCACCAAGTCAATGACAGCTAATGTGAAACCCTAGAAAGTGATGGTCTCAACACATGAGACAACACAAATCCCATATGATTTCACGTAATTTTCAGCCCTGAAATCCAATCTCTACTCTCCAATTAATAATTCAGAAATTTATTAAAGTGGCAAATCGAGATATTAATGAGGCCTTTGTGGGCTGTTTATGTAATTTCAGTAAGAGTAAAAAGAGGACACGTCATCGTCTTCAGCCAAAGTAATAAACAGTGGACGGCACCGAACCCATTTGACTTCCTCCATTTTTCTTCCTCTCTCTCTCTATTTATACAACTTCATCCACTTACGGTCCCTACATCATTGAATTCATCCATTTCTCTCTCTCTCAATTTCTCAACCAAAATCCAAAATCCAAACTCCAATCATGGGAAGAACACCATGCTGTGAAAAAGATGGTCTCAAGAAAGGCCCATGGACTCCAGAAGAAGACCAGAAACTGATTGATTACATTCAGAAACATGGCTATGGAAACTGGAGAACCCTCCCCAAGAATGCAGGTACTTTAGTTAAATCTACTTTTCCGCAAGTTTAAGCTGGTCGATTATGATAAAAAATTAATCTTTATGACTCTGTCCATCCTTTTAGGTCTTCAGCGATGTGGAAAGAGCTGTCGTCTTCGATGGACTAACTATTTGAGGCCGGATATTAAGAGAGGAAGATTTTCTTTTGAGGAGGAGGAGACCATTATTCAGTTGCATAGCATTTTGGGTAACAAGTAAGTGTATAAAAATTGGATCTAATTCTTTGCTAAAGTTGTGATCTCTGTTTTGTTTCTTAATGAAAGTTTGGCATTTTTAGGTGGTCTGCAATTGCGGCTCGACTGCCTGGAAGGACAGACAACGAAATAAAGAACTATTGGAACACCCACATCAGAAAAAGGTTGCTGAGAATGGGAATCGATCCAGTAACCCACAATCCGCGACTCGATCTTCTGGATTTGTCTTCAATTCTTGGCTCGTCTCTCTACAGTTGCAATATTCCTTCTTCTCAGATGAACAGTTTCTCAAGGTTGATCGGAATCCACAACTCAATCAACCCGGAGCTTCTCAGATTGGCCAACTCCTTCATGAAAAGTCCAAATTTTCTGCTACAAAATGTTGAACAAGAATCCCAAAACTACGTCGTATCTCAGCTACAGTTAGTTCCACAAGTACCCCACCAAATTGACCAATCGTCCCCCCTCCCGCCGCTGCATGAAGTTTCCGGTTGCAGCCCGTCCACCACTGCCACCTCTTGCGGCGGCGAAACCCAATTGTTAGACCCATCAAATTTCCTCGACTTTAATTACTCCCAAAACTACCCAAACCCTAACGAAATTCCCTCAAATCTGAACCATTTTTCCTCTCTGGACTGTGCCCAGGTTCCAAATTACGATTTTGAAGAACCCCATCAACAATACATGGACTACCCTTCCTCTGAAACCTCCACTCTGAACTCCAATTCCACGTATTTCAGTGCCAACAATGGCAATGGCACTGATCAGGACGAGAGAGAAAGTTACTGCAGTGAAATTTTGAAATTTGAAATCCCCGATTTGTTGGATGTTAATCCCTTCATGCAACTGTAAGGGCACCGAGTTTGTTTTCTTTTTTCCTCAGATGATATCTTGTAAAATTGCTTATAATTAATTAATTATGATTATCCATTTTCACGATTAACCTTTCTGAATTTGGAAGCAAAATCTCACCTTCCCCTTCCCACGCTCTTGCATGTCAATCTATGAATGGCAACATTTCTGTCTCGTTCTATGATTAAGAAATTACGTAGCTAAAATTTGATTATGCTCCACCCCTTCTTTATTTGGTTTCTTTAGTTATTAAAATCCAATGCGAATCTTCTTATGGATTGTATTACGTCATAGCATTTGGCCACAGACATGTATGACAAAAACATGTAAATCAAATTAAATGTTTTAATATACTTTATGTACACGTTACTATATATGTGTGTTATTGTAATTTTCATATTAATCCATTCAAATTTAAAATGTAAAACCGAGATGACGAGGATAAGTTTTAAAAACAAATGTAATTAATATTATAGCATATGATAATGTAGCCGTGACATCTAAAAAAGGAGAATATATACTCTTTTTAATTTAACATATATATATTTTAACCAATTGAATTATATTTAGAAATGTAAATTATCATTCAATTCAAAAGGACAATGCATGGATTTGAATACAAGATTTTCCGCTCTAATACTATTAAAAATAAATAAACTATCAATCAACTCAAAAGCTTAAATTGATGGATTGAGCCGGGAAAATTGCAACAAAATCCAACGAGATCATAAAATAGAGAGTAAATAGCAATGTTCGAATCGAACCCAAAAGCGCAATTAAAGATGCAGTGTTTTGGCATAAAAGAAAAGAAAAACGGTGAACAAATTTAATTAATATACATATATAAGTGATCACTAATAAAGTACTAAGTCAAGCATTAAATAATTAAGGAAATAATTTTAGAATTCGAGTGTCCCGCTGCTTCCCGACAGCGAGTCTAGGTTCCCGGCGAGAGGAGCGGCGGAGGGTGGCGGAGGTTGTAGTCGGGACAGCTGTCCAGTCCACCTGGCAGGATGGGCAAACGGTGTCTTTTCATGAAAAAGATCAAAGGTGAATATTTTATTAATTTGCATGGCAATGAGTTTGACAAAGTCGATAACACGTGGTATCTTTTAAGCGGTGGCATTAAGCGGGGACCACATACATTTTTTATAAATAAAAAAGGTTGCAAAAGATAGAAGTGTTGCTTTTATTGAAAAAAATGGCAAGGTTCTCGCGCTGGTTTTGTTTCCTTTTAATCCAACCATTAATGGCTGCCTCCCGCGTCAAAGGTAATTACGTCAGCATTTCATACACGTGGCAAGGATAGGTCCCACAAAATAAAATAAATTATTGAGAAGATTGGAATATTGGAGTTAACAATCTACCTCGTGACAGAATTTAAGAATTGCATTTTGAATTTCTATGTACAGTTTTTAAGAAACAAATAGATTTTTTTTCGGAAAGAGAAACAAATAGATTTTAAATCTGTATTGAATGGTTATTAATTACATATTGACCTTAGTTTAAATGCTCCCGTTAATTTGAATTAAAATTAAAATTCAATATCCAACAATTATTTTAGTCTCCAAAACCATTTTTTTTTTCCATTTTCTTATTGCATTTAGAGGTTATTTGGGACATAGCAACAAATAACGATAGGTGGACTAGAACGATAATATAGTGAGATGAAATTGAAATGTCAATTATTGAATGACCGAATTATGCATGTTAGCATTAATTACAACGTTTAAATAAATATCCTACTTGAACTGAAAATGTTTATTTTTTTTAGAATGCGTTCCACAATTTTTTTGTAAAGGACTATATTATTATATTTATTATTTATAATAATAATACTACAAATTCATTAGTTTTGCCATTTTATCTGTAAATAGGAGCTGAACGGGCCCATCAGAAAGTTTTTTTTAAAAAAATTCAAGTTTCCATTGTCCTCCATTAACCATGATTTGGTTCATGTGAATTATACAAATGCAAAAATGTGAACATACACACAAAACAAAAAAATGCTTTTGAAAAATTCTGGGTTCCAAATTTGTACCAGATTTTACTAAAACAAGGAATGGTCGGTGGATTATCACGACTACACAATTACAAATAATATATGCTCAAATATTTCATACTGTCTGATATTCAGTCAAATATATATATATTTTTTTGTACGAATTATTATTAGAAGTGATTTCAAATATAAAAGAAAAATTGTGAAATTGATGGATAATCAACAATAGGGTACATGAATTTGAAGGATGAGTGGATAACTTTCCTAATTTGCCCCTGCAAATTTGGCTGCCTCCGACTAATTTCTAAAGCCTTTTGTTTTGTGGTTTCATGATCGATATATCTTATCCACACGTCTCTTTAATGCACTCCCACATTAAACTCATGGTCATTAAGCTTGTTACGTCGTGGTTTCACTGAATATATGTGATCCCTTCTCACCCAGACTTTTAAGGAGTCAAGTATGTTATGCTTAACTAGACGAAGGACGTTCATATTGGTCAATATATATCGATGAAAATTAATTAGTAAGTATTATAAATAGAGTAAATTGAGGAATAACTCAGTAGATGGGAGGTGAAAATGATAAGAAAGGCGTTGCATGGACGTAAGGCAAAGGTCATTTAGACGTAAAAAATAAAAGTGGATGCTGTGTAGAAGAAGATTTTAAATAATGGAGAGTTGTAGGCGTCGAGAAAACCGCTTATCGGAGCCGTGGCTTGTAATGTATGGAGCTCCGTCTTTGACTACCAGCCGTCCACTCCACCGAGTGATAGAGAGACAGCAGTCTCTTTTTCTCTCTCCACCGCCCAAAGAAAAACGTTTCCGACTACCCTTAAAGTGGGGTTGTGTCTCTTCGCGCGCCGCACTTTTCTTCCTTCTTACTTATCTTCAACTTAAACCCAAACCCAAATTAAAATTGTGAAGGGAATGGTACAAATAGGTAATTAAAAATTTCCCAATAATTTGGTCCTCAATATGCCCAAAGTGTGACAATGAAAATGGCCACCCGAAACAGATATGCGCATACCGATGACTCAAGTGTTGTCGTTTGACGGGATTCAAAGAGGCATACAGAAGATAAAAGATATATGTATGCTTTTGATTATGAAGCCAAAGCTTGTGGGCTAAAAGTGGGCAAAAAGGAAGGTCGGCTATTTTGATTATTATAAATTAATTTTACAAACAAAAAGTGTTGTATTTTGTATATGGTGAGTTGGAAAAATTAAATATAGCATTTCATTTGTTGATTTTGTTAAAGTCATCTAGAAGCTCTCTTTTTCGAGATGTGATAATCAAAAGAAGCAATATATATATATATATATATATATATATTTAATTTTCCCAGATGATGTAGACCTTTTTCCCCCTTGACCACCACTAATGGCCAATTTAATCCATTTTTACATATATGGGTCAATGCATCCCCACTCAAAATCCTTTTCTTTTCACACTGCTTCAATTCCACTCTTCCTCCCTTAATTTTATGAGGTACGATTAGTCAAACAAGTTTAATTTTCGTATTCAAATGTACTTTATTGATTTGGGTAATTACCATTAAGTCTTTCTTAACCCATATTTAACTCATTTTCGGATCAAAGATCTCTCTCATTTGAATGTGGTACATATAGGTTCAATCATGGACCCCTCTTTTTTATTCGGATGTCACAATGTACCTCCAAATCGCATGATTGGTATATTTATCGACATCCTAATCCAAAGCAAAATTCTCATTATTTTGTTGTGATTTATGAACTTAGGTTCAAATAATGTTTTTTAATATCTAAGAAGTCCTGACAAATGATAAATATCATACATACATTGGTTTGTCCAGTTAAATGTTTGATAGTAAATATTTCTAGGAGAGAGATATTTTTTTTTTTTGACAAAGGACATAATTATCCACTAAAATTTAAATATACCATATACCAAAACTTTTTAAAAAGAAAACAGAGAAAAGATAGAAAATCGAAGTTGAGATTGACAAGACCTTTTTCAGCGGGTGGGGGATTGATTCGAGTTCATTATTGAAAATTAAGAGAGTGATTAGTTTTCACTGTTTTAGTCAAACAAAGTTTTAGACACTACAATTTGTTTTATATTTGTTTGTCAAATCAAACATTGATTACCAAATGATCAATCATTCATCAATTTATTCAAAAAGTCAAAAGGTTTTTTCTTTTAGAATTGCATTTGTCATCGTGTGGGCACCATTATTTTACCTTCAATTTGTCTTTTGGTTTCTAAATTAATAAAATAATTATTTTTCTAAGTTGTTTAAGCACACCAAACCAATGGATGCAAACGAAAGTGAGGCATCACAATGACACTTGTTTACATAAAATTGTATAAGATGTTATATTGATAAATGGAAATTATTTTTATCTGTTACATTTACGCCCAAATTTTACTAATCTTATTGTGGTTAAAAGGTTGATTACTCCACTTAATCATTTATATGATCTAATCAAAGATTATATAGAAAAACTCAAGATTGGTTTGGGTTAATCATGTATTATATATTATTAATAATGAAAATATGAGCACAAGTAAACTTATTAAAATATTAGCAATTTTTTTTTTTAGTTACTGAATGATAATGATCTAAATAAAAAAGCACCTACATACATACTAACATTTTAAGATCCATTCAAATATGCACATGGGCCCAAAGGCTCAATACAATTGTTAAACTCCATTCACATATATATATATATTTTTTTTTTTTTTGTGTTAGAAAGAAAATAAGTATGTGCGTTGAATAGAAACTAAAATATGAGACGAAATAAAAGATAAAACCACCAGGTAATAGACTCTCCAATTCTTTGGGATATCCGAGAGCATGTTAGCTCTCTCTCTGCACAATTTATGTTTAGTTTGTAAGGGAAACGTAAGCAAATTAAAGTCTCACATTGGTTAAAGAAATGATCATGGTACATAGATAAGGACAATTATAACAATTAATATGAGGTATTTTGAGTGAAATCAAAAGTAAAATCGCTAGGACCTTTGTCCATCAATGGAAGCAAGTTAGCCTCCTATGTTGGTTGCCCCTTTCTCCTTTGAATAATATCTTTCGTGAAGCTTATACTGACCTACTAAGCAAACATAGGCTTTGGACTTCAAAGCAACAAGCAAGGGTCGTTGCAACTTGTGCGAAAGTTGTCGACTCTCATATGAAGCGGACAATATTGTACCATTGTGGAGATACTTGGAGTACAAAGGTACCATTGTTCTCAACAATTTCACGAGCCACCTAGTTTCCAGTTCTTCCAACGTACTTGAACGATTTTGATATGCATCGCTTCGAATTTTGCTTCATCTATGAACATCTTACCTCTTAACTCAAATGCTTTAACATTTATATTTTACAGGACTGATAAGAGCTACGTCAAAATCTTACATATGTTTTTAATCATGGAGCCTCTCAATTAGTAAAAGAATTAATAGTAATAATAAAGGTCTCATGGAGTTACATTTTTTTTAATCATTTTGTTGTTTAGAAATATAGTTTTCTAATCATTTTTTTGTGTTATTATTATTTTTTTATAGAAATATCAATTAAAATTTAAAACAAAAAGTGTAAAAACTAAATATTTTAGAAGTTTTTTCTTTTAAATTATGATTTAAAAAGTAAATAAAAAAAAGTTATAGTTGTTATTTGTTTATCTACAAGCTTGAACTGGGTTGCGCAAGCCCATGAGAACAAACGTTGGGCCTTACGACAGCCCAATAAAAGCAGGCAACGGTGGCGGTTTCAGTTACGGCCCACGATTCTTTCTTCCTCTACCTCTTGCATCGTTTGGGTAATCAAGCTTTCTGAAAAACCCTAAAAATTCGTCACAGTTCGGTGATGCCCAAGCTCAAGGACAGTGCCTAAGGTTGAATTCTTCAAAAAATGCTGGTAGGAATCTTTCACCACCTGCGCATGATTCCCGGATCCGTTCCTCATCAAGTTTTCGATCACCATGTCGAGGTCCTGAGCCTTTTGATCTTGTGGTTTAATTTCTGTGATTTTGAATTTTCTTTTAACTTCCATTTTCTCATGTCGCGTATGAGCTTTCTGCGCCGAATCTCTGCGATCCTCTTAATACTTTTGAAGCTTTCGATTTTCTGTAAATGAAACATAAGTTCGAGCGCGAACTTATGACCTTTGCAATTCTTGGCATGTATCTGGATTTGATGTCCGTTTAGACTCTCTTATTCTAGAGTGGTGGTTTGTGGTCTTACTTTTCAACACTGCCGCTCATACGGCGTACCGGAGCAGTTATCATCTTCTTGTTTAGTTTTCACTTTATAATTTATAGTTGATGATTGGAAGGGAAGAGTGCAAGTGCTCGAGCAAGCAATGCCATTGCATAGTTTTTAATTATAATTTACTATATTTTGGAAAGCATAATTTATGGAATGTTTCAACGGTCGATAATTTTGTGGATGTGGATACCTCGCCTGGCCAATTTATGAACATGCATTGTTGTGGAATCCATGAATAACCTACTTCTTAATACTGTCAAAGTTTAGTAATTATATCTTGCTGCTAAAGTAATTTTATATTCTAATACCTGTAGATATTTGATGCTGGGGAATCTAAAGAAGGCAGCTCGTTCACATATGACAAGCCACAGACTGAGCCATTTAGAAGCAAAGAAGAGCGGGACAACTGTTGCAGTAGGGCCTCTCTTTCATAATAAATTGTTCTCACATTATAGTTTTTTATCCAGAGGACATACATCCTTCCCATCGTACTGCACAATGAGAAGATTTTGCTCGACTGGTAACTGCAGAAGTTTTGGTTCCTTCACGGCCAGTAATGTTGTTAAACATCATGCTCACTTTGTTCGGAAAAGACTCCCCTATAAATTTTCTTATGATGGCCGTACTCTTCCCCCCATAAATAAAGTTGCTCAAGCAGTTATCTTGGCCATTTCTCGTTCTTACTTGATAGTTCCTGGTATGTTTGCTTTTACATGTGGAGAGCTAGCATTTGCTCAAAGAACATTCTCAAACACAGACCACTATCCATCTCACAGTTCTTTCTACATCCGTGCACAAGATGGACCTGCCTATGTGATTTCGCTACTACTATCTACATTAGAAGTTCTGATATTGTTACTTAGAGCCCTTTATTTGGCAATCTTGTTCTCACCTACCATAGTGATGGCTCCATTTGCGGATGCCTTTGGATATAGCTTCAGGAGACTCTGGCTTCAACTTGTTCACCGTTCACTGGAAAAAGGTGGTCCAGCATTCATTAAATGGGGTCAGTGGGCAGCAACAAGGCCAGATCTCTTTCCTAGAGACTTATGCATCAAGTTATCGGAACTTCACACTAAAGCTCCTGAGCATAGCTTTTCCTACACGAGGAAAACTGTTGAACGGGCATTTGGTAGAAAGCTTTATGAGATATTTGAGAGATTTGAAGAGAAACCTATTGCATCTGGAAGTATCGCTCAAGTACATCGAGCTTATTTGAAATTTCGTTACCCCGGTCAACCAATGAAGCCTATGTTAGTTGCTGTAAAAGTTAGACATCCAGGTGTTGGTGAATCCATTAGGAGAGATTTCATTATAATTGACTTGGTAGCAAGAATCTCAAAATTTATTCCTACACTCAAGTGGTTGAGATTGGATGAAAGTGTGCAACAATTTGCTGTTTTTATGATGTCTCAAGTTGACCTTGCAAGGGAAGCTGCTCACTTGAGCCGCTTTATTTATAATTTTAGACGGTGGAAGGATGTTTCATTTCCAAAACCCGTGTATCCACTTGTCCATCCTGCTGTTTTAGTGGAGACTTATGAACAAGGTGAATGTGTTTCACACTATGTTGACGAGCTCGAGGGAAATGAAAGAATCAAGTCTGCATTGGCACACATTGGGACTCATGCACTTCTAAAAATGCTTCTGGTAATGTAACTTGTATAACGCTGCAGCCTTTCTGACTGTTATGCCTCATTTTTCTCTGCTTAAAGACCATTTTATTCTATCTCGCCCGTTTGCAGCATCAAATGTCAGCATTTTTAATTTCTTGGACACCTTTGTATTTTGCATTTTTATTTTTTGTCCAATTTTGTGATGGCTTCATTATTAGTACTGCACTTCTCTGGATTGTAACATTAGTCTAGTTTCCACTTTTCAGGTGGACAACTTTATACATGCAGACATGCATCCTGGAAATATCCTTGTCAGGGTCCATGAAAAGTCCTCTAGGAAGCGACTCTTCAAGTCAAAGCCTCATGTTGTTTTCCTTGACGTAGGCATGACTGCTGAACTTTCTGGAAATGATAGAGTAAATTTACTTGAATTTTTTAAGGCTGTTGCCCGAAGGGATGGCCGCACTGTTGCTGAGTGCACCTTGAAACTATCAAAGCAGCAAAATTGCCCTGATCCGAAGGCATTTATTAAGGTAATACAATGTGCATCTCTATTATTTTAGCTTTTGGAATTATTGTAGTTAGATCCTGGAACGTGGAGTTGACTTCTTAGTTTGTTGGTCACTCCCTAGGAGCGAACAAGCAAATGAATGTTTGGCTTGTGAATTTTCCTGTGTTAAACCGAGATGGACCTCCTTGTTGCTGTTAAGCATAGTTTTTATTTTGAAGTCAACCCATATTTTTTAGCCCCACCTATGGTAGTTTCTTGATCATGTAGTATTTGGCTTCTAGTTCTAGGTTATGACAGTGGAATAAAGCTTCTGGATATTTAATTTTATCCTTGAGGATTAATCTTTGTTTATCTTCAATGTTGTCGACAATTAAAAAGTATTCAAGTCTTTTTGTGGCCTGTAGTATCTCGCTGTGTGTTTTTCGCATTAAAACTGTGCGAAATGAACTTGTTTGCTTACCGAACCTATTTTCCCTGTGCATTTGAGTTGAGATGTTTTTACCAAATGAATTTCTTTATTGGGGTTTGATTCTGTTTTTTGTGGAAGTATTTCTGATCATCTGCTTACAGGAAGTGACAGAGGCATTTGCTTTCTGGGCTACTCCAGAAGCCGATCTAGTTCATCCTGCTGAAGCCATGCAGCAATTACTGGAGAAAGTGAGGCATTACAGAGTCAACATTGATGGAAATGTCTGCACCGTGATGGTCACGACGTTGGTTCTTGAGGTACCTTCTGTCTGCTGTTCCTGTATTCACAAGATTGTATTTCCACTATAATTCCTTGTGTGAGCTTCACTTTCAGTTTTACTAAAATATGGGGGAAAGAAAAATGCTGATTTTTTAATGTACTATGGTAGTAAAGTGGTCAAACAAGACTGATCCCTTCTCTTTTCTTCTTTTTGTTTTTGAGATCTCTGTTTCCGATTTTATATGATCTGTCCACCATTAGACTGTTTTCTGTCTTGATTTATTGACATTTTTTTATTCGGTGACATTGAATTTATGGACTGTTTGAAATCTGCCCTTTTTCTTTTTCTTGTTTTTTAGAACAAAACTTCCTTAAAAGTTAAACTATGTTTATAATATTCGATCCAGTACTGTTAGCAAAATTTCAATTTTATTTTTGGAGTACTTGGTTAACTGTTTCTTTTCCTTTTTAGTTTTGTTTTCCCGAATGGTCCTATGTTTTTGAACTGAAGTTGTTATTTTTTTAAGAAATATCTTGGACTTCAACCATGTACATAAGGCTTTTGCTTCGGTGTGCATGTACAGATATTATTTTTATTTTTTAGAAGTCTCACTTCAACTTGACGCAATGTTTTACATAAAAATAAGTGGGAGGATCTTTATAAGTTTTTTCTGAAGTTGTCCCTTTCACACCCCAGTGCTGGTGGCAGCCTCAGGTTGACATTTTTGGTTTAGTGTGGTTTAGTGCCGTTGCTGAACCCTTCGTATTGAAAGAAATGGAAGGTATCTCTGAAATAACTGTTAGTGGGATTAGTACCTGTGTTCTCTAGTTTTCCAGGTTTCTGGGTGGATGCCATTTAGAAGTCATTTTGTAGTTCTCCCTTGGATTAATTTAGTTCCAACAGGAGGATTTCTTTTCTCGAATCTCCTTCCTTGGTCATGGTTGGATCTGGATGGTTCATCTTCCTCTCTTTCTTTTAAGGCTTTGTATTTACCATTCTAATTATTAGGGCAATCCCTCTCTTGGAAGAAAAGAACCTTATTTTTTAGTTTTTAAGTTTGCAAATCATGTTACGATGTCTAACTCACTTCTAATCTCATTTGGATAGGGTTGGCAGAGGAAGCTGGATCCTGAATATAATGTGATGCACACACTGCAAACTCTTTTACTAAGAGCTGATTGGGCGAAGTCTCTTTCCTACACAATTGAAGGATTGATGGCCCCGTAGGATGGTTTCTGGCTGTGTCTGCTCCAACAAAACAATTTTGACAATGTAAAGGCGAAATTATATGCACACCAACACCATTCAAGTTTTGTCTTGAATTCACATCATTTTCCCACTAAGCTTTAGCCCTTTTCCTTTTTTTTTTTTATAATTTTTGTTAGCTCAAAATTGAGGGAAAAAGCGGTAGATGTGAGTGACAGTAAAGCAAATAATGTGGTAATACAAACCCCAATTCTTTTGATTATAATGTGCTTCCCAATGTAAAGTTAGAATCTTTTTGCTCCTGCTAAACAGAAGTAACAGGGAAAGCATCACTTTCATAACTGTACCTCATCGTTTACATCTGTTTCTGCACGTGGCTTTTCAATACTTCTCTTGCTTGTTCGTACCATGTACTTCAATTGACTTGAGTAGAATTGTCATTAATTTTGTTCATTTTATCATAATTTTAGTGCAGCAGATGTCGGTATCTTTTAATTGCAACAACTTGGGGTCGAAAGTTGAACTGTGAACTCTGGGTGTTTTATTTATTAGTTTGGTTTGGCATTGTAAATTTTATCATTGTTTTTTGCAAATAATTTCTCTAATTATAGTATCTTGTAAAAAATTTATCATTATTCAAAGTACTATTAATCACATAATATTACAATTCTAGTTCATAATTCTGTATCCTTCAAATTTTAGGTATTTTCCCCGTATCTTGAAGCTTTAATCAACCATGCCAATCTGAGAAGTACTTTACTAAGTTTTCCTTGAACTTGGTTTCGTGATAGTTCTTTGAAAAATAATTGGATTGGTATTAGAGCATTTTCTATTTTCTTTAAAAAAATTACTTATTAATGTTAAAAAAAATTGTCCAACTTTGATTAATAATATATATTTTTAAGTATTTGTTCTTTCGTTTTTAAAAACAAACGCTAACCGATTTTCAATATACTTAATTCTCTCTCAACATTTTTATTTTGTCGGTTCAATATGATTTTTTCAAGTACGGTTCAATATGCATTTCTTTCAAGGAATTAATAATTCTGTTTGATCAACTAAACAATTATGATCAAATTAAAATTATTATTATTATTTTAGAATTCATTTTAGTAATTTTTATATGATGTCAGAAAAAAAAAATAGAACAACCATGAAGAGAGCCTAGTTGGAAAGGGCAAATAAGTTAGACAAATAATTATGAGTGATGAAAATGTAAAATAATTTTGTGTTAATGCATCCTTAGCTTCGACCTTCTATCCTTGTAATATAATATTCTTCAAAAAATAAAAAATAAAAAAGTATAGAGAAATATGTTAATTTAAAAGGATGACAGAGTGATAGTTTCTTTCAAAACTTCAATTTCTCCAAACTGGTGAACATGCATTTTATTAATTAAATTAAATGAATAGCAAAAATATTTTTTATTCATATTTTTATTACTTAAATTGTTCAAGGTTGATATGAAGGATCAATATGCATTTCCATAATATCATAGAAACAAACACAGGCTGTACCTAGCGAGGCTCAAAGTACATAAAAAAATTTGAACGAAATTATTATTAATATGAATATAAATACTAATGACAAGGATTTAGAAATTATAACAGATTTTTAATTATTCATTAAAATGCCAATCGACTTCAGGAAGATCCACGTCTAGTCCCCAATATATGATTAGTGAAGGCATAAGTAATCTTGAACACAGCTTTATAAGATGCAAAAACGTGATTCAGCAGGCAACGCAAAGCAATTTGCAGGCCAGAAAAAGGGGAGTTTGTGTGCATATTAGAAATAACAAGAATGTTGGGGAACCAATTTTGATCTTGAATCTTAATTTCCACCACACACACACACACACAAAAGAAGAAGAAGAGAAAAAAAAAGATGAAAGCTGGCTCCAACAACACCAAAAGAAAGGTGAAATATGTCTAATGAAATGAAAGTTGTTGCATGTAAATGATGCCCACAGCCCCACTTGGCACAATCCCAAAATTTTCTTTTCTTCTGTTATAGAACATGTACGTTTCAAATACTTGATCCTGTCGTGTATTTGAGATTTGGGTAAAAGAAACTTTGGAACTACAAATTTTACAAACATGAGGTGTGCTAAGTTCTTGTCTTGAACCACCCGATGATTTCGAACAATAGGATGAACAAAGAGATATTCTTTAAAGTGTGTCAAATTGAGGATCAAATCAATCAATTCGATACATATTTAGCTCTGACCAAGGTAGACAAAGAATGCTGGATCATAAAAATAAGGGGGAAAAAAAACCTTACACGTTCTCAATGGGGTACTTGCAATGCATTTGTAAGCTCCCGGACTTCTTTGATTGCTGCATCTATAGTATAGAGGGCCATCTTCTTTACCTGCTTTCAGAACAAAGAAGACTTTAGTGGATCTTATCGAGTGAATAACATTAACGAGTAGGATAGTTGAGATTTCAACCTCTAATGTCTTCTCTTTTGCTATGTGGTCTTCTGGAAGTAGTCGAACCTCGTCGATCAACTGGATACTTTCGCTGACACTTTCGGGTGAGATAAAATCCAATACCACGTGAATGCAAGACTGCAGTTCAAGTATAAGATTATGACATGTATCAAAAGTGGCTATTTCTTCTTTTTACTCAAGAAACTCGGTGAAACAAAACAAGGACAAGTACATCAAAATAATTCAAGCACCGGCCAGAGGTATTTCTCTACTCCTTATGCTAAAAGAGCAGGGGTTAAACTTTACATTTGAAAATTCATACCAGAAAGCCAGAGCTTGAAGGGGGGGCAATTGAAACAAAATGATAAAGATATCTGTACAGAAATCCAAACTCATAATGCTAATAAGAACTCAAATCGCAGGCGGTTAAAGAACAAATAAATATTTATCTAGAAGGCCCTAAGGCTTTTTCAATCCCAAAGATTAAACAATCAAAACAAAAATATTGTCAACAAAATGCATGGTTCTTCAGACCTTTCTATTCCGGATCTGGTAAGGACATCCGGCAGGAATGATGACAGCTTCTCCAACATTTTGCTCAAAAGTCCATGGTTCAATTTCTGTTGGCAAAGGAAATTGATGACTCCACAAGCATTCGACATAAAGATATTAGGAAAGAAATCAAAACAATACATACGAAACTCCTCCTTCAGCCTCAACTTGTGGGTTGCATCAAGAAAAAAACTCTGGTCAAGAATTGGATGCACAACCTGCAAAAGATGCACTGAGTGATTAGTAAGATAGCACAAGTGAACACGACACACTATATGTTCATGACTCACGTGCTTATGAATGAACTCATCAGAATGCCTTCGGAGGTACTCTGATAGTCTTGGAACATCTTGCCTCCGAAAGACATCCCATTGGGCACCGCAAGACTTCGAAGATATTTTCTCTCCATCAATGAGAGAGGATATTGTCCGTTCCCTATTCTTCTTTGGAGCCTCCGATGTCTCATTTAAATGGGATTCAGATTGAAGCACTAACGGTCCCGGATCCGAGTCATATGCACCATCAGAGGTCATACTAGGGCGTTTAATACCACCCTGAGCAAACACTTGGTCAGCATATTCAGAGAAACCTGGTACTTTTGCAAACCTTTTACTGAAGTGTGTTTCTTCTCCAGCCATACAAGATCCAACTTCCTCCACACTTGATTGATTAGTAGAGGTATTGGAGGACTCACTTTGAGCCTTCTGCCTATGAAGCAAGTTTACTACTTTTGTAAGTTGTTCTGTTGAAACGGGGACATCTGTACTGTGGGCTAAAATGTTAATCTGCGATACAAATAGTGAATTAGCAGCTCATCTGACATTTTAATGAAAATTATCATTCCAATTAATGATCAAGAGAGAAGAAGCATACCACATCGTAGGAGTCATAACATAATCTGGAGACAGAGTCAGTCATCACATGCTCCTCGGTACATCCATAGGCAATATAGACACATGGACCCATGTCAGGCTTGGCAATTTCCTGTGGCAACTTTGCAGCTAGATTCAAAAGACCAGACATGGGGTTCATGTATTCTTGAAGTGGTAGAATTCGCATTATTTCAGCATAGTGAGCTGGAAACTGCTCTTGAAACAAATGAGAAGAAAGCCAACCTTTTAATTTTAACATGTTGTTACAGGTGTTTGTGTGTGTCCGTCCCTTAAGAGAGCCCATAAAATACTGCCTAATGCCAATTTCTACCTGCACGAAGAATTCAAACCATACAAGAATCAAGCAAAGGTCACAAACAGGGGAACTTCAAAACAAAATAGAATCCTAGAAAACCAACAAAAATAAATCCCAATGCCAAGAGGCAACTGAATATTGCGTATACAGTTTACTATAGAAAATGCTAACCTCACACCAGTCCAAGTTATTGGAAGCTTCTGGGAGATTCTTACTATTTTCGTGTCTTGAAATGATTCTCTCAAGGTAAGTGCAAAACATAACCACTGGATCCCAGATCAGATCTGAAGCCTGGAGCATATTACGCACAATTACTGGATGACCTTTAACCCAGTGCCTCTGGAAGTGCTCGAGGTCATCAAGACGGATGTCAAGAAGGCTGGGGTAATACAAGTAGTTATCATTTGAATCCTCTCTGACAGCAACTTTTTGGAACTCTTCAGTTCCATCAACCTCATGATCCTCATCAAAGCACAAAGTACAATGTGACGACACATCAACGGACTCTGGGAAGTCATAGCTACAAACTATTTCTTCTGCACTCACTTCAAGCTCCCTAGTCCAACTTAATGGGAAGGTACATCTCAATTCGAGAAGGCTGTCACTGCAACTGCCACTTTCTTTTGATGGGCAAGAAAAATGTCTAACACTGTTATTTACTCTTCCTTTATGCAATGCTTTGGAAGAAGGAAGCCGGAGACTACCAGACGTTTGCTTGAAAGCATTTAACTTCTTGTTTTTAAGAAGTTTCTTTTTATCAGACAGGCAGGCTTTCTTTCCATTAGGAACCTTCGAAATAGACATGTCATAAACTCCATTGGAATCCTCGAGAAAAATATTACGGCAGCAACTTAAGCAGAGATTATAGGAACAACTTGGGCAACTTCTGTAGAGATCCGCAATAACAGTTTTGCAGCTATTACTGTTCATCAATTGCAAAACCAATCATAAGAAGACAAGGAAATTAAATCTAAAAAAAAAATATTATGCCAAAAATGTTCAAGCATATGGAGGAGCATACCAACAATGTTCACTACAGCCAAGTTCATCCCGTTTGATATCAACTTCAGATAGTTCTTTCCCTGTTGCATACAATGAATTCAGAAAGGGGAAATTGCAGACAAATAACATCACTTGGTCAAAACTCAGAGTTAATTAATATAACACTAGTTAGTTGCTAGATCTCAAAACTACCTTTTACCATGGCCTCTGTTTCTAGCTCAGCATGCTTCTCTATGTTTATTTGTTTGAGTAAAGGGAGAAGCACACAAATCAAATAATGGAAACGTAAAATTTTTCCAACGCCGTCTCCCAAAAAATCCTGAAATGATTTGTCTGATGAGCATCGATATTCAACTTTGCAAGAACCATGGTCTAGATTCAAATAAGCCTTTCATATCAGACCTTACATTCTGTGTGCAAAGATTGATACGTTGAACAGTCCTTACAGTTGCAAATCCCTCGACAAACAGGGCATGCCTTCTTAACTTCTTCTTGTGTATCAAAGAACCTGCAATGTAATAAACTTGAGTTAACGGATCATCTCATATTCAGAAACGGTAAAGGAAGAAAGTTGAGATCACAATGTGAAACATAAGGATTTCTTGCATTCCATCAATTCTAGTACTGACAGAAGGTCTAATGAAACCTTGGAAGTCTGCAGGAACAGTGAAGATGTCTGAAAGAGTCACTTCACTCTTACAATACAATCCTCTATAATATGCAATTCGGGCAAATTCTCCCATTACCTTTGTTTCTGACTAGTTGCTTAATATTACAATTATGTATGAGAGATTTCACTTTGACCATTAAGGGTAGGCATCTCGTTCCCTATCGTCTTTGTTTCTATTCATACTCAGAACAATGAGCTGGTCCCCCCTTGCCATTTCATGGAAGGTTGACAAGTTTCAAAAATCATTACTACGGCATGTATAGCTTGATGGAGAGGAAGAGCAAACTAAAGAAGAAAAGTATCATCTGCTAGCTTCAAAAGGATTGCTTTCTATAAGAAATAACTTGGTTGGTAAGGAAATATGTTCATGCGGTTAGTATAAACTTACCTGTTCAACTTAACTACCTTTAGCAAATTTCTACACATTCTAGTATTTTAATAACACCTACTCCGCATTAAGGCCCTGGCATTATGAACTAAACCAATCAACTTCCTATTAAAAGTTTTATAATCATCCATGGTAAAGCTCGATATGAACAAAATACTTAATACTTACCGTTCTCTGATGCAGTCTATGCAGAAGAATGTTTTTTGACAACTCGAACACTGAGTTAAACTCCAAGAACTACTTTTCTGACACCAATGGCACTTCTTCCTCTTACATTTACGCAAATTACCCACATTACGCCCATAAGGTACAACCTACGAAAAAAAAGCCAAAAACTAAATAGAGGGAACCATTGAAAATCAAATTGAACCGCCAATAAAACTACATCGGTCAAACATAAATAAATTTATTTACCTGCAAGTCGCCAAGTGGAAGAATATTGACATTCTTGGACCGAAATCGCCTTTGCTGAATCGGCCTTGATTCAGCCCCAATTTTGATTCCGCAAGAAGAACCTTCATTGCCAGATTGTAATGGAGATGGAGAAGGGGAAATTGCCATTAGTCCATTGGGCAATTGCCTTGTCATTTCCTCATCACTGTTCTCCTCTAACTCAGTTTCATTACCCTTGTTCTTCATCCTCTTGCTCGCCTTCTCGAGAACCTTCTTCTTTCTTCTCTTCTCCACTTCCCTCCGCAGCACCATCCTTATCAACTCCAACTGCATACTTCCTTTCTTCATCTTCATTCTATTTAGCATCCCATCCAATGCCGCCGAAGCCCCGGCCAATTTCTTCCTCTTCATTAGTTTTGCCAAAGTTGCCGCTCTCGGGGCCCTAATTACGACGTTTTCAATATTCGAATCCGTGTCAATCGATCTTCTGCTCGTCCTTTGAAGTTTGAGAGAATCCGGAACTTTCTCCTTGCACTGGCGATGGCGGCCTTGGAGATAGTGAATTTCACAAAGCTTCAGATTGTCCATGACTCTTCGTTTGCAACGCCATTGCTTTCCATCAGTCCTCTTGCACCGCAAATGGTCCGGAAGTGCTTCTTCCTCCTCTTCCATTGGCCACCCAAGAGAAGAAAATTATCCCACAGAAACAATCAAATGGCGGAAAACGAAAAAACCACCGAAAACCCAATCTGTGCCCAGAAAAACGCAGTGGAAAAAGAGGAGAAGGGCGTTAAAAATATAATGAACATTTATTAGGGGAAACAGAGGGAGTCACAAAGGAAGGAAAGAAAGTGGCACATTCGTAATAATCGGTAAAGCCCAAATCCTGATTGGTCACAGACGATACGATATCACATCAAATTACTGAAACTAATTACAATTTTCAATTCTAAATTCAATTCTTATCTTCTCAAAACTCAAAACTTTGACTATTTCAGAGCTTTTCTCAAACCAGTCACTCCACTCCATCCGAATCAATCTTAAAAAAAGTTGCCATTTTTCAAATTTGTTTCCTGTTTTTTGAATCCAAAATTTCTGTGCATTATTGTTTACATGTCTGATCTTATGTGGGAAGTAACAGCAGGCAATGACATCTATCTTGTGCTGTTTTCAATATGCTGTTTTGTTGGGTTTGTGATTTCTGCTTATGGGGCTCTACTTTTAGGATCCCTATTATATTATAGTTGTTTAATTTCACAGTTCCCCATTGAAAATGCCTCAAATTCAATTGCTTTTCTTTGTTATTTATGGAGCTTTTCTAAAAATTGTGTCTGGTTGGACGAGGAATAACAAAAAAGGCAGGATTTTGGTGTTGAAAATTGCTATAGAGATCAAATTATGTGTTATATGGATTACACGTGCCACTTCTTTTCTTCTGTTACCAAAATAAAATTGAAAACCCATCTGTTTCAATTTGATTTGAAAGCTAAATCTGAAAACTTTCAAGGGATGTCTTTATCATTTTAAGTTGGATTGGGAATGGACTTTTGTTTCAAAAAGTGAACTCAACTGGATATTTGATTTTTTGAAATAAAATCTAACTGACTAAAAAAACTGATCAAAACCATATAGACAAATGTATTATTTTTTTATTTATTTAAAAGCTATATCGAACGGAGCCAACCACTTAGTACTTGTGGTAAAGAGAACGAGTTTTGATTCGAGACGGATCACCTTTTGGTTATTTGTTAAGTGAATTTGAATTGATTTTGAGTTTAGATGCAAGAGAACAGAAGAGAAGTGAGTGAAATATGTTAGAATAACGTTCATATGCACATGTTTGTAGCAGTCAGAACAGACTGATACACTAAAAAACCAAAAATTAAAATAAAAAGAAAAAGAAAGAATTTGCATTGGAGAGGTGAATCTTCAGATTTGAGTGTGGGGCAAGCAAAGCCCAATGGGCCGAATAATCGAAGATCGGCCCACCTACTTGGGCAGATTATCCAGCCCAATCACTATTTCAAGTTGTTTATACAAACAGAAAAGTTTACAAAAATATATCATAGGTGAAAAGTATTTACAACACTATTTTTCAAAATCAAATGTTTAAAATTATATGGTATCCGATCGTTCATATTTTCTTGGGCAATTGCCTTGATTTGATTACAAGATTTTCCATTTTTATTAGTTTTGATTCTTTCCTTATCTATTTTTTCTAAATAAACCTCAAATTTTCTAATTAGTTATTTAAGATTTTTGGTTTAGGTTTTTCTTTTCCTAGATTTATTTATTTTCTTCATATTTGTATTTCAAAGATATTAGATTTTATAGGATTTTGGTTCAAGTGTTTAGAGTTTTCTTTTCTTAAAATCTGTCAGATTTTATAGGATTTAGGATTTGAAGTTTGTGGTTGATTTTTTTTTAATTTCTTTTTTTGCCTAAAATCTCCATTAAAATATTATCATACACAATAGCACTTGTGTAATCTCCTCTCTTTCTTTTATTTATAATATATATGTGAAAATTGAAAAGCCCAAATTGATAATATCTTTGTTTTTAATTGTGTTTTTTTGTTTAGTATTTCACTGTTAAAAAACAACTTTGAGATATTGGACAAATTTTTTAAAAAAAAGATCAGATTTTTTTACAACTATTTCTTTTAATTTTTAAAATTTAGTTAGAATTTAACTGAAAAGTAGATTTCAAAATAATAATAATAATAATAGAATAAAGATATATATAATTTTTTTACTCTTTCTTGTTTTCCTAATGACAGTCCGGGTTACAACAAAAAATTAAAATTAATATACAAAATAATGTAGCATAAAAATATACTTTATTAAAAGTTAAATTAGACATTACTAATCTATAAAATTTAAAAACTTGGTAACTTATTAAACCCAAAATTATTTGTTTTTGTCCATTAAAATATTCCATAATATACGTCATCACCTTTTAGTATTTTTAAATTCATACAAGGGAAAAAAGAACTCAAACATGAAGGGAAGGACATGGTTTTCTCAAACCAAATATATAAACACACATATATGTATACATATATATTTTTGAAGTGTATGATGACATGTCATTTGACTTCTTGTAAGGTTAGAAGAGATTGTGCAAGAGGATATCATTATAAAATTCAACTGATCTATTTACAATTAGAATAAAACCAAAAAAGAACATATGCAATCCATAGCTTAAAAACTAAATAGGAAACAGGTAAATTAAAAAAAAAAAAAAAAAAGAAGGCTGGTTTAAGCTAATAAACTTCCTGTAACTGCAAGGCATGCATAAACAAATGTCTACGCTTTGCTTTGTTCAACAAATGAAATATAACCGATGCTTCAGAAGCTACCATTTCCAATGATCCACAGCCAATCGAGAGAAACTCCTGCAAAAATGCCGCCTAAAAGGAACATTACAAGCAGATTCCCCAACGCATTCTGCTCAGGCGCCTTCATAAAACCAAAACCACACAATTATATATCAGATTCACCACAAAAACAATGAATGATAACGCCACATTAATTTATTTGCTGCAGGCAGCAACAACTGACCTTGTAGCCTTTAGGTGCTGCAGTAAAAACACAAACAGTAAGATGGCCATTGGTTAGTCCCAAGAAGGAAGTGAGGAAGATCATCCACCCTTGGTCCCCGTATTTTGCAGTGAAGTAAAATGCTGGGATGAGCAAGAAACGACTCAGAATCGCGATCAACAGGCCCTTCCTCGACTCCAACTTCACCCAGTTTATGAGAGGTACGTATCTGCCTATCAGATCCCACACATTGTACATTGCTATTAAAACAAGTGGATACCTGAAACATCAGCAGAGCAGCAGATCAAGACACTCGATGTGAATTCCATATGGTCTATCAGAAAAAAGTTCATGGACTGTATATCTAGTTGTCTAGAGTTCCTACCATGAACCCAATTGGTGTTCTCCAGTATTTTCGTACAAGAACCCGGGAAAGATTGACAATGTGACAACGTATATCAGAAACACGCCAATAAGATAGTCTTTGTTCTTTAGGAATAGCTGCTTTTTGCTCAATAGTTCGGCTTTGTCTCCAACCTGTGACTTTATCAATCAGAATCAGGATTTTCTTTTGCTATTATAATTTAAAAAACATAGAGAAGATTCCCATACTTCTAGGTCTGATTGAATTTCGATGCCTACAGCGGCAAGGTCAGATGACACAGTTTTGGATCCTTCGGAAGCAGCCTTTTTACGGTAGTACTTTACTAGTGGGATTTTAGGGAAGACTATTGCATAGAGAATAACACAGAAAAACTCGAAAGCAGCAGATATCGCTAAAAATAACACTGCATAAATCAGTAAAGAAGATGAATGTTAAGAGCAAGAGGTCCAAGTAGTCATTTTAACTGCATAAAGTTAAAAGGAACTAATTGCCAAGTACTGGTTACATCATGCATATTCCATAATCTATAAGCTGAATGTCAAATGGTTGAATAGAAATAACATACTGGTCCCTTTACGAAGACCGTCATGTAAATCCTCGAAAGCAGCTTTCGTGACTAGCCTCAACCCAGAGGTTAGAGCTCCTGAGGCAGCCAATCCAGCCATAAAAGACTGTAGTGACAAAAGAACAACTTGTAACAGAATTGCATGCACAGGTAACTGCAAAATCCAAACTTTTTCCTCCCACCCCATGAAAGAATAAAAGAGTCAAACCAAACCTGGATGAATTCAGGACACATCAAGGAGAGATCTCCAACCATCCCACCTTGCACAAAGGCATCAGCGATTCCGAATGAACCAACAATGACACATAAAGCAATATATGGTCCAATCCCTCCTTTCCCGGATGTGACCAAATCCAACTATTGCAGGTGAGAAGAAAACAAAGCAAACAACATTTAGTGTCATTTTAACCAACTGAATAAGAAAAGAGAATTTCAACTTATCCCATATGCTGTAATCTGAGCATCTCAATTTAGAAAGCATCCGCTATTACTTACAACTATAAGCAACACAGTACTTAGGAAGAAGAGAGAGTATCCACGTATATTCCTCCTTCTGGTATCAATTTTTGATTCATTATATGCCAGTATTGCAATCGTTCCAACAGCAAATGGTTGATACACGAGGGTGAGTACTCTTGAAGGATGATAATGCTACAAAGATTCAAAAAGTAAAAGGATAACAATTCTTCAGCTGAATATCTTGAAATAACACAAGTCACTTATATGGGCTATATTGTAATCAGTAAAATTTAAAACCAAACTTTAAAAAGAAAAATTGAAAGTCTCAGAGCTTCCCAAGAGTTTGGAAACATTCTACTCTACAAAGCTAAAAGGAAACACGAGTAAAC